TTCGTGCATGGAGGGTAGCTGACAGATGCATTCCAAATGATGACCGGAGTCAGACAAGGCTGCTTACTGTCTCTTCCAACTTTCTCTTTCTTCTGGTGGTTGACTGGATTATGAGGACCTGGACATGTGAAGGGAAGCATGCAATAAAAAGGACAGATTGGATGGAACTAGACGATTTTTAGTTGACAAATGACCTGATTCTTCTATCCCATACATACGAATATATGCAGGTGAATACAACCAGTGTGGCAGAAGCCTCTGCAGCAGTAGGCTTCAACATGCACAAGGGAGAAAGCAAGATCTTCAAGTGCAACACAGAGAACACCAACTCAACCACACTTGATGGAGAAACTCTGTAACAGGTCTAATCTTTCACGTACCTAGACAGCATCATCGATGAATAAGGAGGATCGTATTCAGACATGAGGGCGAGGATTGTCAAAGCGAGGACGGCATTCCTACTTCTGAAGATCATATGAAACTCAAAACAATTGTCAACCAATATCAACGTAAGAATTTCAATACGAACGTCGATACAGCTCAAATGTACGGAGTTGAAACTTGGAGAACTACTACAGCCATCATCAAACATGTACATGTATTTATGAACACTTGTCTATGCAAGATACTTAATGTCCGTTGGCCGAATACCTTCAGCAATAACCTACTGTGCGAGAAAATAAACCAACTTTCAGCTGAGGAGGAAATTAGAAAAAGATATTAGAAGCGAGTCACTAATGAGCGTACTATAATTTTCAGTATAGTGTTGTGGGGATTGTTGAGCTTTAATAGAATCACGAACCGATTTAAATAAAACTTATACACCATAGGATTATGACTCAGCAGTCTAGAGGTTCAGTGTATTTCAAGTCAAATTATTCGGCACTTAGGACAAACATTGTTCCAACTATTCGAAGATCCCAAGAATGTAAGTTTTCATTTTAAATCCCAAATTTTTATTGTAATAACAGCAGCTGAAATCCATCGTTATCAAATTTACTCAGTTTTGTAATAAAATATTTTTTATTCGTTTTTTGCTTGAATTTCATTCACTTTGTTTTAATGAATGCTTTTACTTATCTTCTCCAAGTTAAATCATTTTCATCGAAGTTTAATCCTACTGACGAACAAAGTCTCTATTAGGAAATAGAATATCTTCCAAAAGTTTTAAAGAGTTGAAGAGAATTACATGTAGCTTCTTAAATCTAGCAAACGAAAGCTAACATCAAACAACAGATCAGGTAGGTTGTTTAAACATGTAATGTTTTCGGAAATTATTTTCAGTTCAATGCTGATAGGATAAATTCTTTCTAAATAGCTTTAATGTATATATATATTGCAATTAGATGACAGTACTGTCGAATTTTTTAGTGATCTCTAGTATCAACATAATGGTTAAATTACCTTAAAGGATAAAATATAACTTACAGAATGACTTTGCATCTCCAAAACATTCAACTTTTTGCCTAGCTCAGAGTATGCATTCTTATAAACTTTATTTATGTTTTGGATTACGATCGATTTGATTGGAGATTGATGAGTAACGTTTATTATCAGTTTATTTATATACTTAAAGAGTTTTTACGATGGTAATATGTTAAACATAGATAAAATCGTGTTAGGTTCAACGGGATATTTTTATGCTATTTTCATATATTCGGTAGTTCGAGTAAATCTTAATTATATGATATATAAATAAATAAACTAAATTTTGACAAGCTCAATTCGGATAGTCAGCTAGGGTCGATCATAAAATAAATATTATCTTGAGAACCAACTTTTTAATGTGACCGCAAACTGGAAGTTCGAAGAAAAATACAGTTACTCTCCAATATCCAACACAGTACGATTCTAAATTATGCATATGATTATGGTTTGGAACAACTCATTGTTTCCTACAGACAAATCGACGATACTGATGAATGAAAAACCTTAAGTTTTTGTTATAGCCCATGAAAGTATGCTAGAAACTGAATTAGGTGAAAAAAAAGAATCACTTTATCTCATATCACGCAATATACCCATGTATAGTGCTCATAACATTAAAAGTGGTAGTCAAAGACTAAGTTTTTCCATCGAAAATTAAAAGTGAATGTTCAAAGTGTCCAATACCCAATGCTTTCTATGTAGAGTGTACACAAAACGCAAATAAACCCTGTACCTGAGTCCAAACTTTATAACCCTCATCCTGACCTAATTCCTAAGTGTCTAATTCCAAATCCCGGTAAGCTGAAATATACCCCAGAGTCACTGAACGTGAAAATTGCTTCAAGGTTTTGAATCGCTCATCAAAATAGGATAAGGAATAATTGTCAGGACTTTGTATTAGAATCCACGGTGAAATTGTTCATTATGAACTTGTGTCAGTCATAATGCACCGATCCTAGACGCCATATTCTACGTTTCAGTCCTAGTGTTATAACTCATTCATTTGCACATGCCGCCTCCTGAATGACTAGAGCAGGGTAAACTGTCATGGATTTCTGGTAGTTTATTTCTGTAGGAACACCCAATACGGGACATACTGACAAAGATCAGCGCACATGCCGTCTACCGATGATGAAATGTACGATAGGACAAGATTCAAGGTTTTCATCCCGAATTGACTTTAGATATGATGAAAGAAATCTTTGTAGCTATATACATGGATGATTTTCGCGCAAAACCACAAAAAGTTATTTAGAATCTATGGATGAATATTCACATGCGCTTAGCTTGAAATTTGATAAGCTGTCTTCTGATTGGCCGACTGTGTCAGGAACACCTCAAGGCAATTTGGGAAGTCCATCCTGGTTTCTCTTATAATGTAGCCTTATCTCCTCTAACTCGAATCAGGGACGAATTGCGAAAACTGTTTCTAATTGGCTGAGGACTGGCTAAATATTCGTCGCCGTTGTTTTAAGTTTGTCTTTGCACTGTACTTTCATTGTTAGGTTAGGCATGGACGTTTGTGTCTATCTCTAAACTTTCCCGTCAAACTATATTATACTGCCAAAACAGCTAGAATTATTAAGATGGAGACATTAAGATTTGCAATGAAATCCTAGTGGCAACGGTAGGAAACTTCTGAACACTGAATACGATAGCTCTATTTACAAGTTAAATTATTTCAAGTTGAAAATAGTTTTCCTGTCACAGCACAGTCAAAATGACATTATGTGAAAGTAAAACATTTGTCCCTGTCAATGTACATCTTATCCAAAAAGTAACTTTATAAGGTTTCGTGAAGAGCTAGTAACTTGTGAACGACCTTTGAAAGATGCTTAAGTGGCCTTGAGAAGGTCCAACCACTTACTATCACCAAAATAGGGTTTTTAATTAGTGTGAGGAATTAAGATGGGGAGTTAGAGTTGGAAACTGAGCTTTGGAATTAAATTGAGTTTTCGTCACGAACTGTTACTAACTATAATGCCAAAATTCCATTTAGTTATATGAATGAATTTCGCACAAAAATCCAAGTCACTACTTTAGATCTGATTGGTTCATCTATAAATCATAGACTCACCGCATTCATGTCTTCCGACAAATCGGCTGGCAACTTAAGAGATCGTTGTATAGAAATATAGTGAAGACTGTTATAAAAAATCTAAAAACGCATTTATAACTTGTTTAAAGGTCTGGGATTAAGTTAATGTATATATATGAGAATATCGACACCAGAATGTAAGAGAAATTAGATGATATCCTAAATATGAACAAACGTGTATTACTAGCTACCATTAAAAATATAAGCACCAGGATATATCGAACAACCATGTCAGCATTTATGATGAGAAAAAGAACAAATATATTGACTAATACGTATTAGTTAAGAGGGAACAGTACGAACAGGTGAGAATCTATTCGAAAATGTTAAGCGGGTCGAATTAATGTGTAGTACAGAAAGCTTATAAGAAGACTGTTATGACCTTAGATGTCTGACTTTTCGATCACACGACTTATCTACCAATCCGAATACGACTTATACGAATCTTCACACTAGGCCAACCAATGACGTTCAACCGGTGTGGGCAGTTTAGTGTCCTTATTGGTCCTGTGTCCTACGAGCCCTTCCACTTGAGTCCAGAACAAGATACCAGCTTCCGAATCAGAGCAGATCGTCTATTTCAGGCATACTTGGTTTATATATCAATCACACAGACCGCAACGTACCATAAAATAGGAAATAATATTTGTACACAAATAAGCCCAAAAAGTGGCTGTGCACGAGGGGGACAGTGAATAATAGACTGAGCATAGATTAAGAACCGTAAATCGTAAAATAATAAATTGTAGGTCAAAATAAAGCTTATAATAAGAGGAATATAAATATACGTAATGTAATTGTTGGATAATTATACAATAAGAATATTTATAGAATATTAGTCCATTAATAGTCCTCGGGAGTTACCTGTAATTTAATCTCCACTCGGATATAACAAAGACAAACACTATTGTGAACGTGATTTTTCTGTATACCGCTTAACGTAGAAGAAACCTTATAAGGATCCATGCATTACAAATCGAATTCTGACTAATATAAGAGACTATATATTTTACCAGGAGTAGATCTACAGTGATATCTTCTACGGAGATAAGACTCAATTACAGTTGAGTGCTGTGCTATGAAGGGAAATACGAGCTAATTCATTTGAAGTTAAAGATGTGTTTATAGATATATTTTGAAAAGTGATTCACACAAATAAAGCTACGATTTAAGGGTTAGAACCTTCAACCATTAGATTTCATATTCAAGTTTCACTTAAACTACATTAGAAAAACAAGATATCATTCCTTACGAAAACATGAGCGGAATACGTGAGGGTGTACATAATTTCACTGCTATTCAAGTGTAGGCGATAATTAAATGCGTCGCCACATAATTCCTTCTATAAATTACCTTGAAACAGGATTTAACCTTATTCCTTCACAATCACAACACGATTCGATAGTAAACATCATCTTCCCCGTATAGATAAGTGTTCAAAACTTTCACGTCAAAACTGACGCAAAACAAATTTGAGCAAATAATTTTTTTATTCATATGAAAAAAAAGACAATAAGACTTTATCTCCTTATGATATTCATCAATACAGATATTATATAGATATGATAAAACAAGCAACTGTCTTTGTTTTCTATTCATGTACACACTAAAAGATATTGACAAACAGTTTTCACGTCAAACAGAAAAACCAACTACATATCTGCAGACACTGTCAACTTCTTTAGCATTCAGAAGCATAGATAGTGAGAAATTATAAATAGATTGAGACGTTGTACTAAATTATAATGTAATCCACAAAGAATACTGTTAACTAAATGTTAATTTAATCATATATGATATAGCTAATAACTGGCACGAAAAACAATACAGATTAAGTGGTATGTACTAAATGTGGATAAAAAGAAAGAGAGCTGCAGCAGTTAATCAATAGGTCAATAAACATATAAAGAGTAGATGTACCACGTAATGTGTACATATTTGTGTGATGCAAAGAGAAATAGACAAAAAGGATTAAAATTGTTTCATTTCTCGTTTCTATATTAAAATGAAATAATATTGAGCAAAGTGAATAGGAAGTTATTTACCATAGTAAAGAAAAATTTTCTATTACGCTATAAAAAGAAATTAACAGATTTGTAAATGCCTAGAAAGTTAACAGTAATCAGTCAACTTTTAAGGACAAGAAGTAACACATTATGAATCTCAGAAACGTTTTTACCACCTGAGATACAAAGGGAGTATGATGAAGTAAATAATCAATAAAAATAAAGGCAAATGACATCGGAGTAATAATACCTGAAAGATATTACATCGCTCAGATTTAATTTCTTGTTATCTTTGTTTCCGTTCAGGCAAAATCGATTTTGAGAGAAAGAAGAGAATTAGATGAATCAATATAATTAATCAACATCATTCTCATGTTTAGTAAATTAAACCAAAAGTACAATTATGCATACAGATGAGCGAGTGAACAAGCAAACAGAACTCATATCCTTCGATAATGCGTACATGTGCATATTTTAAAAAGTTCACCAATATTACTTAAAGTCATTATGGGATATTACGTGAAATAAAAAGTTGTATCTGTTGATGCTTTCTTCTTTACTGCTTTGATCAAGTGTATACCAAAAAGAAAAAAAAGGAGACCACAATAATGTCGATACGTTTTTTGTTAACAGTGAAAATAAAACGGAGATAAATGTAATTAATAGAACAGATGAACGGATGTGTACGTTTATATCGGAAGTTGAAAGAGGCGTAAACAAAAAATACAAAACAACAGTTACGAAATCATATATCACTGTTTTCTGTCTCTACCACTGAAACACCTTAATTGTTGAACGGGCGGTGGAATTCTACCTGAATCAAAAAAACCATATTATAATAGTCAAAGTTAACAATTATACTACGAACAAATTGCAAAAATATATTAACACATTATTAGAGAGTGAGGATTTTGGAAAAGAAAGGAAAACAGTAAAAGAAAAAAACAAGTAGAATAATTAAAAACGTTTACAGTGAAAAAAAAACAACGGCAAAAGGAGGCATCTTGTCAACTGAAACTATATTCAACATTAGAGATATGAGTACAAGTAAACAAGTAAAAAGGAAAATATCAAAGTACGAATAAACCAATACAATAAAATCGGAGTGAAAAAAATACATAGACGAAAATCAAATTTGTGAGTGAGGAATTGAAAGTAGAGACTATAGAACTTGTGCCATTCATGTGAGTATATCTGCATTGATATAAAAGAAACCGATTTTTGTTAAATCAATAAACAAGATAGACAGTACCCACTGATAGATGTTTTTTGTTTAGAAGTTTGAGAAAACTATTGCTAGTAAAAAAAGATAACGGTCGTAATAATAATGTTGATAATGGTAATGATAACGGCGATAGCAATAATAATAATAATAATAATAATAATAATAATAATAATAATAATGGACGTGAATAAAGTGTAAAAATGTTCTCTTTTCGTTTCTCCCAGTAGAATAATCTTAGAATAATACAAGAAGTAAGGGAGACAGAGCTTTCAGCTCGAACCATACATAAAATGTGTACGATAGGAAAACAAAATAAATTAACATATTAAAAGACAACAAAGATACAAACAAAATGCATTTAAATAAGGATTATGTCGTTTTTTTCACTTCCTTTCTTCTAGGTATTCCCATATGGAGCCTCTCTTTGGTACAAGTAAACAAAAGGAATAAAATAATCAAATTGTGAGCGTTACGTAGAAAAAAGGGAAATGAACACACTAAAAGCTGCCCATGTACACACACGCGTATTCCAGTTTATTACTTATGAATGCTGCTGCTCAATATTCAATTCTGGTGGATAACCGTGTAGAAATGGACAGGTGGATCCTTTGAAACACTCACCCATCTCCCAGAATTTACAAGTCACTTTTGTTAAATCATGTGCAAATTCACAATCTTCTTTTTTACAATGTCCACGTAAGTAAAAGCTGCATGCACGACGCCATTTAGCTACAACTGGTTTTCCGTTGACTAATTCTGTACCTGGGTATAATGATGATAATGATGAATCTGATGGTGTTATAGTCGTCACTGCTCCTGGTGCCATTTGACCATTTGTACAACAACGAGATTTATTACATGACAATTGGGAATTCGAACCTGCTTGTTTTACTGAATTGAAAGTACCCACTGAACAAACTGAAATGTTGCCAATGTTCGAAGGTATATTATTATTGTTTTGTCGTCTACAGTGAGCATTGGAAAATCCCTGTAAAAATTACAAAAGTATAAATAATTAAATATCTTCAAGAAATGATGTATTAAACAAATTTGGAATAATCTCAATAAAGTTATAGTCATAGAAGTTAGACACATTACAATTCTTGTCTCTTTGCGGTCGATACTCTATGTTAATACAATAAATATATATTTGTGAGGACAACATTGTTTATTCCGTATATCAGAAACTAAAAAAAATATGTTTAACCACTTGAGATTAAGAATATCCTGTGATAATTCAGTTTCACTAAAATAACATTTTGTAAGTAAGAAACAAAATCTTGAGGTGAATTCAAAAGATTACATCTCTTGCATTATCCTCAATCAGACAGCCACAACGTAGAATCAGGCACATATATGCATCGATCCAAGTTGCCATACCTCATTAGTACAACAAGAAAACACCAAATTAATAGAAGCAGTTACTTTAATGGTAGTAATACATATAACAAAAGAAGATTGCACATAAGGATATGAAACAGAGAGAAAGAATTAGTTCGTAGAAAGAAAGATATGAAGCGATTTTAGTCTCACCGTTTTAGAACAGACAAAGACTATATACATATTAACATGGCACAGATCAGAATTTAATGACTTTATGGACTGATGCGACATTTTTGGTTTGGCCGCCCCCTAACATTCTTCCATCCATCTCCAACACTAGTAAGCATTGTGCACTGTGGTATTCAGTTGTTAGGCATGCGGAATACGTGGCCCAACCATCACAAACGATGTAGATTCACAAAATCATCAACTGATTTACCATTATTCCATAATAACCTGTGTCTAACCCCAATATTACTACACAGTGATCCCAGCAGATGAGTGCAATATTTCTAAGATATCTGTGATTCAATACTAGTAACTCATATGTATCCTCTACCCGCAATGGCTATGTTTCGCAGCCGTAAAGTAAACCAGAACGAACTACCACTACATGGGTATCACTAGATCATACTACACAAAATCGGATAGAACAGGTTTGCATAATGGGACGACATTATCTGACAGAGAGAAAACAGAGTGGAGAGAGATTTACAAATCACTGTGCATTCAACAAATTTATTACAGGCGACACAATATTCTCACACAAACGCATACACAAAGCCACATGAATCTCACTGCATCACACTACACAGAACCAGATAGATCATATTTACATTAGTAAACAATTCACATGGTCGACAGAAGAAATGAGAACCAGAAGAGGAGACGACATCGATTCAGATCACCACAAGCTGCTGGTTGCAAAGATGAAACTGAAGCGAAAGAATCACTGAAAAACTGGACAAATAGCATTACAAGGGTCAATAGAGACTCGATTCGACACACTGACAAACTCAACCAATTCAACATAACTCTCATCAACAGGTGCCAGCCAGGCCTTACAGGATCTACTGAAATAAGAAGAAACTACGATGGAGGACAATCGGAAAGGAAATAGAGAAATACTAACTTCAACGTGTCAGGAGGTGCTTGGATCTATATCGAAATCCTGCGCACGATTCACGGAAGAAAGAACAAGAAGACAACAATTAACAACACACGAACAAGAACAGGAAAAGTCAAGGCACAAGCTGAATACACAGAAGCAAACAAGGAAGTGAAGAGGAGTATTAGAACTGACAAGCAGAAGAAGCTTCAAGAGAAGGAAATATCAGACAAATTTATGATGCAACGAAGAAACTGGCAGGAAAATATAGTACACCAGAAAGACCGGTCAAGGATAAAGAAGGCAAGACAATCACTGAAATTCGAGGGTAGAGGGACAGATGGGTAACACATAGAGAAACTCTTCAACAGACCAGCTCCACTGAACCCACCAGACATCGAAGCAACACACACAGACCTTCGTATGAATGTCACTCCACAAACGATCGAAGAAATCAGGATGGCCACCAGACAAATCAAGAGTGAGAAATCAGCAGGACCTAACAATATATCAGCTGATGCATTAAAGTCACACATAGAAGTAACCACAAGTATGCTTCACATTCTATTCAGGAAGATTTGAGAGGAGAAACAAGTACCGAAAGACTGGTAAGAAGCATACCATCAAAATACCAAAGAAACGAAATCTGAAAAAATGTGAAAACTACACAGGCATAACACTATTATCAGTAACAGGAAAGGCTTACAACCGAGTGTTGCTCAACTGGATGAAAGGTTCAGTAGACGTCCAGCTTTCAGATCAGCAAGTCGGATTCCGTAAGGATCGGTCGTGCACAGAGCGAATCGCGACACTACGGATCATCGTTGAACAATCAATTGAATGGAACTGGTCACTGTATATCAACTTCACTGACTATGAGAAAGCATTTGACAGTGTGAATAGAAGAATATTGTGGAAACTTCTTCGGCACTATGGAGTGAGTACATGAGGAGATCGTCAATATCATGCGAAATTTATACGACGGACTACATTGCAAATTCGTGCATGGAGGGTAGCTGACAGATGCATTCCAAATGATGACCGGAGTCAGACAAGGCTGCTTACTGTCTCTCCCAACATTCTCTTTCTTCTGGTGGTTGACTGGATTAGATAGGTAGGTTATCTTAGTTAATAATTCCAATATGCCCCCAAATGTCCTGGTATGGCCAAGAGCGAGGTGGGTTCGCCCTCCCTCTCGAAATACTCTCACATGGCCACGCGTATACAGCCTCCGCCAGGGAAGTCCCACTCACTGCCTTCTCGTGGCGGGGGTGTGGTTTACGAAATTGAGAGGACAAAAAGCGAATGTCTGGTGCTTTAACCGGGTTGGTGGACGTGGAGAGTCCACCTAGGGGAGTTGGAAAACCCTGATTCCAAACCAGTGGTGCACATGCGCTCCAGTATCCTAAGGGAACAAATGGCGTAGGAACCAATCGTTAGTCACCGGCTACCATGGGACTGCATCTCCTTACGATGCTTCACTGCCTTGTGGATTAGACCTTCAGGTAGAAGGCTCGGGGTGTGGTCCCCTAAGAAAACCACCTGCTTCGGTTTGGGCACCCGGGCAGTATCACAGCCCTCGAACATATCACATGAGATCTGTGTGGCGCATATGCATTTGATGCTTCTTTGTACCAATATCTATTTGTTAAAATAAAATAATATATAATTCCAATGTTGACGGAAATATTCGTTTCGTAACAATATCCGTTTTTCTGTTAAAAACAGCTACAAGACCTATTGATCAGTGAAGTTCCATGTCACTTACAATAAAACTTGACATTACTGAAAGTGATATAGAAGGAGATTTTGTAAAAATAACCTAAGCTAGAACAAAGGGGTTATTTACTACTCCTTGACTTCCTATTATTCAAATGATTTTTGAATGGCAGACCGACAAAAGTAAGTACACATAGAAAATTACATTGATTCAAATGTTTAGCATTCATTATTCCATTCGATTCAGAAATAAATGAATAAAAATTTTAGAACAAAATGCTCAATAAACAATTTTCCGCGAATCAAACACACTTGACGAGAAAATAACATAGTCTACACACAGAATTACACCTTTATAAAAATGGATAAACATATCACAATTAAGCAGCAAAGCTAAATTATTCTTATTAAAAATCATTTACCAAATTTATCTTTATTATGCTTAAGTAATAAAATAGTTTGTCTCAGTATCAATAGACTTCATTTAGTTTATTTATTTTCTCATAATTAATCAAATGCCATATTTCCAAATAAAAAATAACATTGGAATTCACTGCATGATATAAATCATGAATTACTGAATAGTACAGTCTAGTTTATTCATTCTTTTTTCTCTAAGTAACAATAGTCATACGATTTATCATGTGAATCACTTATTTGTAACATGCAATAATAATCCAAGAAGCACATGTTGTCATGGTGTGGTAAAAATATAAGCATAAACATACTTGATGATAGGTGGTGTCATATTAAAATTCTAATATTTGATCTATTCATTTCGATAAGAAAAATTCAACAAACAATATCTAATATTTCAGAGATGACCATAGAAAAAAATAAGCAACTTTTCACAGCTTTGATTTAATTATTGAAAGGACATTTAAGAGAATTGAGAGATTAAAATCATAACGAAAAAGAATCCAATGATAGTGAGTCAGTTATCATCTACATAGAGCCTGCCAATGATATCGATCAAAGTGCCATATACATATATACTGATTGATTACTAAGTAGTGTCCAATATTGTCTGTCTAGTCCTTTAGTACCTATCGAATTCTATCAATCAATTTGAAGTGTGATCACTAGACTAATTGGCTCGATATCGTGTACACTTTGTTTTGATGTTACCTAGTTGAAAATAGACAGAAGGTAAAATTAGACTCTGGTTTCATGATAGTTGGAAATGACCACAGCAAGGTGATACCTTGAATCTTACGGAAGCTAACGTAACCTAGCTTACTCTAATGACCAATAAGTAGTTCACTTTTCATCAAAATAAGTGTTAAAACTAATTTCACCAAGATAAACAAAACTGCGTTATAAGAGATCTCTGAAAAGACAAAGGTATTCTGACAACAATAAGATAAAAATAATCAATTTGCATTTTATAATGGAAAAACAAATCAAGGAAATAACAAACCTCCTGTTGTTGTGATCCATTTAAATTTTTCACAGTAGAATTAGTAGTACACACTGGTAGTGGTAAACTTACAGACGTCATTTTATTTTTACCAGATGTAGATGTAGAATGTCCAATAATAGGTAAGCGGTTCGTATTTAAATTTCCAGTTGTTAATGGATAATTCACGTTAATAATCGGTGTACGATTGATAGAGCATGATGTTGTCATTGTTACTCCTGGTCCTATTGTAGATAATGATGAAGTAACAGAAGTTTCTTGATGATATCCACTGAATGCGATCGTGCTAACATATTTCTTGTGTCGCATGGCAAGCTATTAATTGCTTCTGAAAGAAAATTTAGAAAATGACTAGTGTAACAGTAATTAACGTGTAATGCGCAAGATTATGCTCATTATTTGTAATGGTTTGAGAAATTCAATGGTATGGCTCAAATCAGTCTACTCATAGATCTTGAGTTACAATAATATTCCATACTCCATATTCTACGAATTAATTCCTTCTTCTCGAACCAAATCCTATATATCCTAATCGTTTTTTCATCACAGCCACCTTTAATACGTTCATATTTATCTTGCTAATTTTATCTATCTATACTGATGTGATGTGACTTGGATCGATGCACATTTGTGTCAAGCCCTATATAGCATATGACTGGTTGAAGTTTGTTAAATTATCTACAAGATTAATATCAGTAGTAGCTAGATTATTTTGGAAGACTTAAGTAAATGTAGTGCAACTGAAGGATTCTACAGACAACCACCTATTTCGTTCGTAAAAATAATTGTTTTAAACAAGGTCCGAAATTTTAAACAGTTCTAAAGCTTGATACTGAATCATCAAATTGCTTTCTGCGTTCACTTATAGGAAAAAAACTACACATACTATATGTCTACATAATTTTATGACTCAAAATAACTAAATGCTAACGATTCTCATTATAACTGATCAATCCAATAATGCACTTCATTATGTTACACGTATGTTATTCCCTACAGAGTTTAAAAGACACCAAGTATTTCTTAAATATTTAGTTTACGTCACGGACTGAATTAAACTGAACAACCATTGAGAACCAACAAGAAATAAATAGCTGTTTCATTTTAGTATGAGCCTTTTTAATATTAGGCATCTATGACGCCGTTGTGGATCGCGAACCAGGACCTTTAAGTCTGGTGGCAAACAAAAAACCTTCAGACCACAGAGTTGAAACCCACTTATTTGCATTTATAACTTGAGACGATCAGTAATATCATAGTTAGAATACTTGCGAATTTTTTAAGACATAAATGGTTGAATGGTATAGTTCAATGAGTAGGGTGATTTTAAGAATGATTTATTGCTTTGAGTCACAATTGATTTAATCGCTATACCTCCAGAGAGTAGTAATATTCTGTGATAATAATCCAGTAGGAAAATCCTATACATATGCATTACTTTTGATAACTCAGTCACTTGCCTTACACAGTCAATATAGTTCCTCATATCGACTCGCTTTCGCTATCAGATTAAAGCTTTAAAAATTTGTATTGATTGACTGTAGTATTAGACTCCAAATTATAGCATCCAGTTTTTTAAACCTCGAACGTCCCGTTCATTGTGCAGTTTAATCAGTGTTTAGAAGGCCAGTTGAATGTTGTAAAAAAAGAACTACTGCATCATAAAATCAGACATCAGCTCACCTGCTTCAGTTTAAATAACCAATAAATAGTATTTTTACTTTAAAACCTTCTACGAGAACGCTTACTTTATTACTTAGTTCGGGATAGATATCCATTCAAATGCAATGAACTAATGAATCATTTGACAGTCCAAGTCAATAAATTAACTTTCATTATTTAATAAATAAAAATTGCACAAGGAAAACATACATTATTAAAAAATAAACTCGTACCTGTCGACCATCCAGTAGAATTATTTACTGATGTTAATGAGAACGATGCGATAAAATTATCATTACGTTTGTTATTTGCGTTATTAATACATTTCGTATTAAATATCATTTTATCAGATGAATTCATTAGTAATTTATCTGAATCATCATTTAAACATTCATATTTCATTACATCTACAGGAGTTGATGGCACAGTATTAGGATGCTGAAGAAGTATTTTCGATAATGGCGGTAGACTTGTTGTTTGAGGTGACTGACATGGATGTCTTAGTGGTTGCGTCTTATGCATTAACGACATATTGGATTGAAATGATTTACTATGATTCCATAGATTTTCGTCTCTATTAACAAATAAACCCATTGAGTTACATTTGTTATTATTAACACTACTATGATGAAGAGAAGGTGAATCAACTAAAGTTGTATAAACAGCAGTTGTATTGGTGGTATTAGTAGTTGAAATATTACATAAAAGATTTTTTAAATCCAAATTTAAATAATTTAACATTTCTATATCATTATCAGTTAACATATTTCGGTTATTGTTAATTAATTCAACAAGTAAATTGTTTGATTCTGTGGATGAAGTTAACACTTTTGGATTATGTTGAGTTACACTAACAGGTAAAGTTGGCCAACATGATTTTGACTTATCCGTAAGAACGTTTTTAGCTTGTATAGAATCGGTTGGTGGCACAATATATTTAGTGACAGCGGGAGCAGTAACATCAATTGGTATAGTTGATGGAATATTGGAATAGTATGTTGTATTCGGTTGACAAGAAGCTAAAGGGACCTGTAGGAAAAAACACTTGCGATATATATCATATCATAATTTATTAAATTGTTCAACATGTTTAATTTTCGGAATTCACTGATAAATCGTGTATATACATAAGAAACGAATTTTACACAACTAGCCCCCTAATGCCCTGGTATGGCCAAGAGCGAGGTGAGTTCGCCCTCTCTCTCGAAATACTCTCACATGGCCACGCGTATACAGCCTCTGCCAGGGAAGTCCCACTCACTGCCTTCTCATGGCGGGGGTGTTGTTCACGAAAAAGAGAGAACAAAAGCGAATGTCCGGTGCTTTAATCGGATCCCGAACCAAATCAATGGTGCACATGCGCTCCAGTATCCTAAGGGAACAAATGCGTAAGAACCAACTTTCGGTCACCGGCTACCATGGGACTGCATCTCCTTACGATGCTCCATTGCCTTATGGGTTAGACCTTTAGGTCAAAGGCTCGGGGTGTGGCCCCCTAAGATAACCACCTGCTTCGGTCTGGGCACCCGGGCAGTATCGCAGCCCACACGCAATTAATGAACTGAACTGTCTATGATCATGGAAACTAATTCTCTTGCTTCGACGAACATTCAAATGATTCAAATATTATTATTGCTATTATTATTATTATCATTATTATTATTATTATTACTATTTACTACGTCATTATTCGCCGTCTTTTATTCCCACTATTTATACTTATTTTTTCGACTTATACAGCAGCTCGTCTATGGTGGAAATTCGACTCTATCTAAACGTTCTCGAGTCACTGTCCGGTTGAAAATTGTATGTTACCACCGAATATGAGTACTGAAGCAGTTTTTCTGAAACCACGTGCACCATTCAAACTGGCTGCCTTCAACGTTCGCACATTTATGCAGGTTGGACAACAGATAGGGCTGGCTATGTCTTTGGAAAGTCTTAATATCGATATTTGTTGTCTATCCGAGACCCGTATTCAAGACTCTGGCGAAGTACTACAAATTCGATCTCCATCTGTCGCTTCGAAAAGCTTGTTTTACGTGCGCTTATCCGGGGACCCTGTGGCATCTTCGTCTGGTCTTGCTGGCGTTGGTGTCGCACTAAGCGCTAGAGCTGAGGCAGCACTAGTCGATTGGATCCCCATTAACAGTCGGTTATGTGCTGTTAGATTAGAAAGTTCCATCAAAGTGAGAAGAAATCGGCGTGAGAAACGATGTCTTTTCGTCATCTCCGCCTATGCCCCGACAGATTGCAGCCCGGATGCAATCAAGGATGAGTTTTACCACCAGTTAACTGTTCTTCTCCAGAAAGTGCGTTCGACAGATATTGTAGTACTAGCCGGAGACTTGAATGCTCAGGTCGGGCGTCTAGGCACAGAAGAGAGTCGTTTAGGTGGCCGATGGGGACTTGTTGGTCGCAGGTCAGATAACGGGGACCGTCTACTGCAACTTGCACAGACCACAACCTGTTTCTGGCTAGCACTAACTTTCGGCACAGTCATCGCCGATGTGCCACCTGGCGTCCTCCCTCTGCATCTCAAGCCTGGACTCAGATTGATCACATCGCGATCAGCTACCGCTGGCGTGGTTGTGTACAAGACTGCCGCTCCTTTTGGAGTACCTATCTGGACTCTGACCATGCCTTGGTCTGCGCCAATCTTGCCTTACTTTTCAGTGGACAACGAAGTGACCGCCATCAACGGATTGATGTTAGCAAGCTGGTTGCAACTTCTGTTGCAAGTAAGTATCGAACCGAGCTAGCCTCTAGGCTAGCTACCACTCCACCGAAAAGTATAGATGAGCATTGGTTGCAATTGCATGACGCCATGAAAATGGCGGGAACAGTCAGTTGTGGGTTTGCGAAACGTCCCGCTTTAAGCACTGGGTTTCTTCTGGTTCCTTACAACTCATTGAAGCCCGTCGGTCTACTCCGGGTGACCGTGAGTTTGACCATAAACGAAGGATGTTACGTAAGGAAATTGGGCAAAGCTTGCGTAAGGACCGAGAAGCCTGGTGGTCGGAGCGTGCTAATGAGCTGGAAGCAGCAGCTGCATCTGGTAACTACCGGAAGCTCTTCCAGCTCATCCGAGCCACTGGCAGCAAGAAGTCTGGTGTGAGTGAAACAATCTGCGAGGATGATGGGATGCCAATCACTAACATCCATCGACGTCTTGGACGATGGGCAGAATTTTTCGAAGGGCAGTTCAACTGGCCTGCTGCTCCGGCAACATCGGTCAGACTGTCCTGCCCTCCATGGCCGGTGACGACTGATCCACCAAATGAGGAGGAAGTCCGCAAGGAACTCCAACTCTTGAAGCGTTACAAATCACCTGGCCCAGATGACTTACCTCCGGCTCTTTTTAAAGATGGTGGTGACTTTTTGACTAAGGAATTGACGACGTTGTTTACAAAGGTTTGGGAACTAGAGAGTGTACCAACGTCATGGAATGAGTCGATAGTTGTCCCTATCTTTAAAAAGGGTTCACGTCGTTCCTGTAACAACTATCGGGGGATAAGTTTACTTCCGATTGCGTCCAAGCTATTGGCTTCCGTCATACTTCGTAGGTTGTTCAAAACCCGAGAAAGATTGACTCGCGAGGAGCAGGCTGGGTTTCGTTCTGGTCGAGGATGTATTGATCATATCTTCACCCTCCGCCAAATGTTAGAACACCGCCATACTTATCAAAGGCCAACAATCGTAGTGTTTCTTGACATCAGGGCTGCCTTCGATTCGTTGGACAGGACTGTTCTCTGGGATTGTCTATTGAAGAAGGGTGTGCCTGAGAAGTTTATTAACATCCTAAAAGCCCTAATAAAACACCTCAGGCAGAGTGAGGGCATACAACCACCTCTCTCCATTGTTCCATTCGAGCAGTGGGGTTAGGCAGGGTTGCCCAATCTCACCATTCCTCTTCAACTTTGCCATCGATGACATTCTGGAAACAGCTCTGATGAATGTAAGTAATGGTGGTGTGGATCTGTTGCCTGGAGAAAGACTTCTCGACCTTGAGTATGCGGACGATATTGTCTTACTGTGCGATAATGCCCAAGGCATGCAATCCGCACTTAATCAGTTGGCAATCAGTGTCCGTAGGTATGGTATGTGCTTTGCACCTTCGAAGTGCAAAGTACTTCTACAAGACTGGCAGGATTCTAATCCTGTACTCACCCTGGATGGTGAGCAGATAGACGTAGTCGAGAAGTTCGTGTATCTGGGTAGCTGCATAAGTGCTGGTGGGGGTGTGAGTGATGAGATCAATGCACGAATAGTGAAAGCCAGAGCGGCTTATGCCAATCTGGGCCACCTTTGGCGCCTTCGTGATGTTAGTCTGGCTGTAAAAGGTCGGATCTACAACGCGTCGGTGAGAGCAGTTTTGCTCTATGCTTGTGAAACCTGGCCTCTCCGAGTTGAGGACGTTAGACGACTCTCTGTGTTCGATCATCGCTGTCTCCGAAGGATTGCTGACATTCAGTGGCAACACCATGTCAGTAATGCAGAGGTTCGGCATCGTGTGTTCGGGCACAGAGATGATAATCAATTGGTGTCACCATCTTGAAACACCGACTTCGGTGGCTTGGACATGTTCTCCGAATGTCGTCCCAGAGAATTCCACGTCGTGCATTATTTGCCGACTCTGGGACTGGTTGGAGAAAGCGGAGAGGTGGTCAGTGCATGACATGGTGTCGTGGTATGAAAGAAAGCTGCAAAGGACTGTCCTCTGTTGGTCCTTGACAACTGAAAGATTTCTTCTGATCGTACCTTTCCGTTCCCCCATTATTACTATTATTATTATTACACTACCCTACACCAATCTCTTCGTTATTGTTTTCTTTTTTTACACTCCTTACCTTTTTTCCTTCTCTTTAAATTCTCATTGTTTTGTGTGGCGCATACATATTTGGTGCACTCTTGTACCAATATTTATGTGTCCAAAATAAAAATAAAGTAAATAAATAGGGAGGAGAATGCTAAAAAAATACAGACATTAATGCTTTTGTTTATTTCTCTTACCTCATTTGAGTATGAGTACGATAATGATAGTGGTAAACGCCCAAAAGATGAACTAGAGATATGAAAATAAAAAAGACAAACTAATTCATTACATAATTGTAAACACATATCTATACGCGTAGAATTTATTGTTTTAGGCACCTTCCTTACACCATCGAAATTGAATACATTGAGTTTTTCTTAAAGTAAATAACCATAATCATGAGTTTTGATCGAATCGAGAAGATCCCTACATGAAAAATGGAAATCTGATATTACGCCTTCAGGCTAGAATATATACTTAAAAATATGATCCGAACAACTTTAAAAGAACTAATAGTCATTAGAGCACGAAAGAAGACTACATAGTTTTTAGACGATGTCCATTGCGATATCTGACCAACCAAAGTTATCCGCAGAATTGTACACAATCAATGATTGTGAGGCTACAGAAGATATCCGTTTAATCGTCATAGTAAAAAAATCATACATTTTATATCTAACCACTGTTCATATTAATCATTATTCAATGGTTTATAGAATACTTTTAAAAAAATTTAACTGAGATTATTTTATGCAAAGTTGATTAAATGAAGAATCCGACAATTGTATGATAATTAGAATTATTCGAATTAATGTACTGACTAGGCATTCTCGAAATACCACAATTTAAGGGTGGAAGAACTAAATGGGCACAAATGAACATATTATATTTAGAATTCGTAATCAACGGGCAATCGAGTATAAACGAATCACAAGTTGGTACAAGTACCATAAATTGGTTAATCATTCAATGTTTGTGCATTATTATTAGGAATATTTATCAAGCAAAAAACCAATGATATTACTATTAATAGTCTTCCTCCTGAATTTTTCCACAAATGAAAATCACAAAACAACTATATTGAATATGTTGCGATATGACAGTTTTTTACAGAAATTTAATTTCATTGTTGATATACTTATCGATCATTTTATTTCAGATATAATAACACCACTTCCCTTGATACTTTTTGATTCGCCTAGTTTCTTTTCAAGGAATAAACAACTTAAATTCATTTACTTCGATATTTTTTAGATATAACAAACAAGCTATTCGTACAACGTTTGTTACTTTTTGTATGCATAAATCAACGATAAATTCTAAACCAAAATACGAATACATACGTACGTCATCAATCAGATAATTTCAAAATAAAGGAATGCAATGTTAAATTATTTATCAATTGTACACTTACTTGACTTTTAGTCACATTATTTTGAAAGTTACTTAAAATGAAGCAAGTAAACTGGGGGGAGTCGAACACGAACCTAGAGTTCATATTTTTAGTGATTTAACGACTAGGTCATCTTTTTACCAACTTTTATTAGGACAATCAAGTAGTAGTACCAGTGATCACACGTGAAGATGTGTCTCAAAACCGAGCACAGCACACAATTGAACTCGATTAAAGTACTTATTACGAATAGAAATATCATCAATAAAAGTCAGGAACAATTCAGTCCATACAAAAATAAATAATGAACAAAAGACAGAATAAGATATTAGTAGTACTAAGCTATCAGCACTCAAGAGCTAAGTGGATAATGCGGTGGTTTGAGGCGAACGGTGTTGGGTTCGAGTCCCTGGGTGAACACTGATTCTGGGATGCAGGTACATCCAGCTGAGGAGTCCCAGGTAGGACGAAACGCATGTCCTGGATTTCACTGCTAGCCACTATCCACCTTTGCTCACAGTGCTTGTGACTTAAGGCAATATCGAGGCGATCCGCACAGGATGCACATATGCCAATAAAAGACTAATCTATTGCAGACCTAAACATTAGTGGGAAGATACAAAATGAATTAATAGTAATAATTAAAAAGATCATCGAGTGAAAATTCATAACGATGGGAAACATATGGTCTGCTAGCAAAAACACAAGCTCTCTTTTTAATTCTGGTGATTACGCAATAATAAGACGACTGAGTAACGAAAAGATAAAGTGAATCAATTGTTTATCTCTTTATCCCTCTCAAGCATTTTGTGTAGCACTCGTAAATAAGTGAATGATGAAAGATAAAAATCATAATAAGGTATTTCCTGTTTTAGGTAATTTAAACTAATACAATGTAACAACTACGCCTATTTATTTGAAATGTACTTTAACGTTATTCAGAATAACAAAGAAAATTTTCGTATTAAAATATTCAGATGATCAGTGAACATTATCAAAAATAATAACACCCAATAACGAGTAAAAGACTGGACGAGACCAATAAATGGACAATGTTGAGGTTAGATGAAGAGTTTGAGACAAGAAGTGCAAATAAAGTAAATAATAATGTGTACTTGTAAAGAGTACGATGATGACAGTATCAAAAATCTATTCAACATCCATTTCAACATAAAACTTTGCCTGTAACAAAGTTTAAAGGGATACAACTTAGAAATGAACTTACAAAAATATTGAACTAAGACAAAGTTAATTGAAAGTAAGAACTACACTTTAATCAATAGTTAATTTATAATAAGCGCTGCAAAAGTTAATATGAAACATCAGAATGTAGAAATGACTTATATTGATTACGCGAAAACAATATCTGGAACTTAACATCCAACGGGAAATTACCTCCAATACAAAACTTTTTAAAAAAATTCATATCAATAGTTTTAATAAGATTATAGAAAACATCATATTTTAAAAAAATCATAAGAATACAGAGAAATTATATACATTAAAGGAAGAAATGAACAATCAACATTCAAAAATATATATCACCATTGATTCTAATGACGAAATAAATCACCTTGATTAGATTACCTTGTTGTAGTAGTGGTATATGAAGAATTATTTATTTCCAAAAGTTTATCAGTTTGTTCTACTTCAGAATCCAAAATTAACAACGATGAATGATTAAAGTGTTTCTGGACTAATTTATTGCCCATATTCATCATATTCGAGAATTTACATTCCTAGAATAAAAAGCATAAGAAATAGCAAACGATATTACATGGGGTCATCTTTTTGTAAAAGAAAAAACAATGGGAATTTGTGGAGATTTTAGTCATTTTAATAATTGAATTCATGAGTCGTGCTTCCAAGTTTTCACTGGTGGTCTAACATTGATCGACTTATGATTCCAATCAAAAACTCAACAATCTCCACAATCCCATATTGCGCAAAACCACTGATTGATTGGGGTTAGACATTAACACCGTTGGGTGCCAGCCCAGTGGTCTAGAGGTTAAGCGTTTGCGTGCGAGACCAGAAGTCCTAGGATTGTGGATGAGCACTGCCGAGGAGTCCCATAATAGGACGAAATGGCCATCCAGTACCTCCAGGTTTTTAATCGGTTCATAAATTCAACTATGAAAAAAGAACACATGAATTACAATACTTGATTCTTTGACGATTTATGAAAAATAAGCTAAAGAAGAAATAAATAGACAAGAGTAATATTATAGAACGGTTTATTTCATCCATTTTTTTTACCAGGATTTAAAGTGGAACAATGAAATAAAATTGACAAAGACTAGTTAACCTTTAATACAAAGCTAAAATAAGTTTAATTCACACACATAAACACACATATTACCTATAGATAAATACATTTTCCATTAAAATGATTATAAATTCAGTCTGGTCTAAATTTTATGTATTTTTAGAAGAGCATAGGAAAAGAAAAATTGTTGAGGAGTGGAGATAGGAATTAAACAAAGACCTTAATATTTAGGTCAATTAAGGTCATCTGTGTTGTGTATACCAGATGGATAAAGAGCTTAAGGTAGGAATGTATAAACATAAGGTCAACAACACACAAAGAATAAGAATAAAGCATTTTAAAATAAGGCTGTTTTCAAAATCACAATTGTATAGTGATAATTATGCTAACAAGATGAAAACAGAAAAATTTTCACATGTACACAGTATGACAGATTTTCCAATAACTGTAAACTGACAAAAACTTAAAAGCAAAAAAGATTAACGAGTTAATATGATCTTCGAGTACGAAATTTACTGTGTAAGATACATTTTAAACTGTAGAATATAATAACAGTGATTTAAAAAATACTGACTTCAAATGTTACCTTGTTATCTAGTCATATCAAAACAAAAATTGGTAATTGAAAGAATACATAAATAAAATAAAAAAACAAACGTATGATTTACAGTGTATTGAGAATATAAAACATTTAGATAATAGTTCAACATCTTGAGAGTAAGGTTTTTAATACTCATTTATATTTCTTTGCACATTCATTAGGTTCTAAGTCTTAAACTAGCATAAAGCATTCACATTTACGTGGACATACATCTCGTCTATAAAGATGAAGTTGATGAAAATTGCACATTCTTCTCTATGTTCACTGAGAGTTCGTTATTCAACAACTCACCATGAGATGGGACTTCAAAACAGCGAACTGCCTGAGGCACGTATACTTAGCTCCCTATAATTAGGCTAGAACTCCACCTGGGGTCCTCTAGAGTTGTTGCAAGTCCGTGAAAAGTAGGAGGCTTAAGTGTAGAGTTAGCGACCCCATCTCATAAAACGGAAACTCGCTAAAAACACGCCAACCAGAAAAAAATAAAACTATTTAAAATGTCTCTTAGATGTTGAAGGGTCTTCATATACAAAAGCTATCACGCCTAATGGTAGGAACCGAGATTCTTTGGAAATCAAGAGGCTTCTCTGACAACCAGAGCAACAATTAATATAGATACACAAAACGTTCGAACAATCCGGAAGACCGGTAGAGTCATTAAAATAACCACACAATGAAGACAATGCAGTCTGTCTATACTTGGGATACGTGAAACTCATTAGACAAATGAAGGGGGAAGAAACTTGTAACATGATCATGAGGAAGAAAATGTCCCATAAACGCAGGGAATACCACCAATGTGATTTAAAGAATCACTTAATGGTGAAGTTGTGGGGGAGATGGGTGCCTTTATGTAACTGGACGACATCAGTGATAAACAAGATCTTATGCAAATCCCATGTTGCGAATTAGTAAACCAAGGTCAGCATTTCTAAAATTAGAGAATATATGGCTTCAAAAGAACTGTTAGACAACAATAACGTCACCGTTTTTAACACCGAATTTGAAACAGTTCTACTGCATAAATCTACAATGTGGAGGACTACTATAACCATAACCAAAAAGTATAGATATTTATAAACAGCTGTTTACGCGAGATATTGCGGACTCATTCGCCACAGACGATCAGAAACCACCGATAATGTTAGAGAACAAACCAACCCCCAGTTGAAGAAGAAATTAGGAGAAGACGTTGAAGGTGGATAGGACACACTTGCGGAAATCACAAAGTAACACTTAATTTGGAAGTTTCAAAGTCAGAAAAAAGAGGCAGATCAAACAATACATGATGCCGGGAACTGAAGCCAGATATGAAGAATAAGAAAAGATTGCAACAACTGGGGAGAGCCCAGGTAAAAGTTGTTTTGAGATCCCTGGTCGTAGTAGCAGGCATAAGTGAGTGAGTGGGGTTTATACTGGGCATCGGAGAGGACTAGTCCGGTATGATCGGTCTTTAAACGACTATGTATTTTGTTTGCATTTCAAACAAACAGAGCTCTGTTTCCCATCTAACAAAAGGCCTCCAGTAAGTCAGTGTACTTCTTAGTTCATCTTTCAATGACAGACACTGTAATATGATTTTTTTTAATCAAAGAAATCAAATAGCCGCTGTTAAACTAAGAAATATTATTTTAATTGGATCTTGACGTATGTGGACGGAGTGATAGAGACGATGAAATCCGTTAGTTACAAATGGTTAACATTATAGACCACAAAGGTTTGCTCAACCATATTTGAACTCTTACTGAATCTGGGGAATTTAAAGGTTAGTTTGCTAAACGTAATCTTGTACTGATATGACCTGTCGCCATGATCCATGAATTACCCTTTTCGTCAATGAACAAAGTGGTGAACCAATAACCAATAATAATTTATATAGAATATTGAGGTTTGAATGAAAAAGTGGTTTCTTTGTCAAGCTGCAAAATTTAATTTACCAATCTCATTAATAGTGATTATCTAACCATTTATACAGACGAAGTAGTTGCACAGAAAATTTAAGTGGGTGTGTATTCAATTATGTTACAACTCATATATATACCAACAAAAAATTATAACTTGATGCCATTGACAAAGACTATAGATAATTGTATGTGAATAACATACATTTCTAACTACACAATAAACCTTTTTTAAACCTGATTATCAAGGTCAGTAGATAGACTACTTTCTCAGCAAAAAACGAAAGGTGCATATACGAGTTAAAGAGAAAGATTGCTTACATGTATACTGAAAACGGTTTAGGTAACTCGTTTACTCAATTGAAACTAGATTCTGATAAACATATTTCCTATTTCTATTTGGTGAGGATATCCCTATTGTTTATTTTAGCACTGACAGGAGGAAATGAATAAATAATATAATGTACCTTGTTTCAAAACAAAAGAAAAAGCAAATTAGTAGTCTATTACTTCAAACTAATGTAGTACAACGAATCTCTCTCTGAATACATATATAACCACGTTAATTTGCTTTGCTTCTAGTCACACTTTAATTCCACGAGGGCTTGTGATGAAATTCACGATGGTGACAAAGTCAAGATACCATGATGATGTGAATTAATGATTAGTGAAAACAGTTTCTACACTATACTTTCAAGGAACAAATTGACGAAGGACAATTATACTCATAATCATAGTAATACCAATCATAAACAAATTATAGAAACTCACTCTATCAGCAGATAATATTGTAGTAGGTTTTGTAATAATATCAGTGGGAAATAGACAATCTTGAGAGTAACTATTACTACTCTCAGATTCGGATAAAATATTTCTAGATTCACCTAAACCAGATGTTAATGTTGATATATTATCTCGTGGGTGAACAATAGCATTAAATCGATCTAATGAATTGCTGATTAAATGAAGTAGATCTGTACCCTCCATATCATCTTCGTCGATATGATCATTTGTATCTTTTGAAGACAGATATGTGTCAGTAAGATTAGATGGACTCATACTTCGAGCATGTTGTTCTGTATTAGTTAGTCGCACATTTCTTAGTGTCTTTTCTTTAACAGGGCACTGTAACGAAAAAAAGAAAATTAAGTAAATATATTTTCAGGAATGTAACAAATGGGAATACTTTTCGAAAGGACCTGGACTTTAGTTATTTTCGGTATATTCAGCTCGAAATTCTTAGTATAATAAGAATAATTTTAGAGCAACCTTTCACACTAATGTAAGTGACTATTGTAACCAAATAATACCTAACCATTACTTTAGGGATATTTTACACGACTGACAGTTCTCAGGAGTTCGAATTTGAGTATGTTAGTTAACACGAAGATACCGGACCTTGAAGGTTTACAAATTAGCAGTATTATATGAGTTATAGAATTATGTATTTCTAGAGGAATTATACTAACTTTAATTAATTATAGATAAATTGGTGTCACGTACAAGGTCGTAACATCGCTTAGGAATCAATATCTAAAACAATTGTTCGCAAATTATATACATACTGGATAATGAGCAGATGGATCTATAGGAACCCATGAGATAGTAGAGAGCTTTTCAGCGACTAAGTCGACAGTTCAAATTCTGCTCACCCTCTGCTTCAGTCTGGGCACTCGGGTAATATCACTAGTCCTTACACTTATTATTTACCTCGGAAGCAATTATACGAGTAAGTAGTTGGTAAATGGGTGAATAAACCCGCAAAATATACAAAAATATATATATTTCAGTTGAAGGTTGATCCCATTTAATTACATTTATATTTAGATATGTGGTTTGAGACTGAAAATTATAGCACAGATATTTTTCATCAGCCAGTGAAAAAATCATCTGTATTCACAAATCCACATGCAATAGAAACTAAGATTAATAACTCAGAATCTAGTGGATCGACTTTTCGACTTCAATATGTTTACTATCTCATTTTCCATAGTTCTCGAGATACTATTTTGTAAAGTACAATTACTGTCGCATGGATATATGTTCCATCATAAAGAAGCAATACTGTTAAAATTTTCCATAATATCTTAGTTATTTTGTTAAAAAACGAATATGTTGATACCTATAAGTGTACACATATAAAACCGACAAATATTAGGGATTCTTGACTATAGATAGGAGTAAAAATGAAAATAATATCTATATTTGACAAAATTTATAAAATGGATTAGTTATTCATAACGAACCAACCGTATGATAATAGTTTAAATACAATTAAAGTTTTTTCACAAATTTCATAATAAATCTTGTTCAAATGCACCGGTTTCTGTTAATTAAAATTACTCAAGATCAAAGCAATCACGACTTCGAATTACATTCTACAATTTAGTCATCTCAAGTTCTTTTTAATTTCCAGAAGTAACATTCTACGAAAGATTTTGGGTAAATCCATCTCTTAATATTAAGTCTACAGATGGTCATTTACGCTAATCGAATTAAGGGACTTTTATGTACTTTGGGTGCATATAAATCACTCGATAATTATGAATACTGTGTATTTTATTATCAGGGATGTGGATACGAATTAAGCTAGTACCTTGAAGTTTCATATGATAAACAGACAAACAAATTAATCTGGAACAAACTATAAGTACTGACACCATAACAATATACGGTAACAAAGTAGTTAGCACGGTTGCATAACACAATATTACAAAAAACAGGAGCTTTATAGAAAGCAACGGTTAACAACAACTGTAACTCTTGTGTGTTAAAAATTGTCATTCGATAAAGCCTTTTTCAAGGTTATTTAGTAGACGAAACTCCATAGAGACGTGATTTCTCAATTCTATATCAAAATATGGGTTGAAAATCAATTAGCTAAGACAATCTAGTGAATGATTATTTACCGTTGAATTAAGTAGCCCATGTAACCAAAATATGGTGCAGATGATTTACTTACTTTAATAGGATTTGTTTGGAGTTTTAAAGCATTGGACACAGAGTGATTCAACCCTAATGCAGCCATTTGATCTTTTGTGGAGTTTAGCGGACATGTGGGACTAATTATTCGTGATTCGTAAATAGGTCTAGATTGGATTGAGTGCTGAGTAGAACCAGAGGACAGAATATTTGACGTATTCGTGGGAAAAGAATAAGAAACAAGATGATGGTTAGTTGCATAGTCAATTAACTCCTCAACGAAACCTTCATCTTCCACCTGCAATGGGTTGGTAACCTCAACAATCGAAGATTCTGTTAAATGACTATCTCCATTGGTTACTATTGCATCTGATTTAGTGTGACTAGAAATATAAACGAAAAGTGGTTTGAATTAATTGATATTATCACTTTACAACGAAAATTATGTACAAGTAGATCAAGGGGTATTAATAGGTTGTCGGACTTATGCATGAAGTACCATTTATTTTGAAATGAAAAGCTTAATAGTACTTTCGAAGTTGCACTCTGAAATCCGCATCTGAATAGAAGTTGAGAGAGAGTTATCCCAACAAAGCGTTAACCGGTCGCCTAATGGCCAGCAACATTACTGAACATTTTGCGTCACAAAATCGATTTATTTGGAATACTGACTGTGTTATATAACTTTGCTGACTGACTTTGGTCACATAAGCTATAAACCACCGTGGTTATCAGTTAGTCGTCATTACGACTAAATGGCCAGTGTATTGTGTAGTTCACTTTGAACAACGTTTTGGCTGTTAAACATGGGTTTTGAAGGTAAAGAGCACATGTAGGTAACTAATTTTGACAACAGATATTTCCAAAACGCTGCTTGGGTTTAGTGAAACCAAGAAAAATATGTTAACGGGGTCATTTTATTACATGTTACGCATGTCCAGCCACTCCCGATTCTGATACGTAATGGAGGCTTATCATAGTAGTCGGAAGTCGACAGTTAATAACGGTCAAACCAACAACATCAGTTCAGAAAGTCATCCAATGCTATTCTGAGCTCTGAACGGGAGCTCAAACTTCTAAGTTAGAGCCGTTCGGTGTCATGTGTTAAAATGGGCTGCATCAGTATATGTGTATTCAGTTCACTTATTCTTGAATTTACTTATAACTTCATTTGTTTTATGCTTTAATTTATTTTGTTCTTTCTTAACTATTTTCAATATACCCATATTTTTTTACTACAACTAACACTACTTTTGCTTTCAGTTTTCTCTCGCTAAAAAGATGCAGTCTATCAGTGTTTATATCAGGTCCTGTGTTGTGTATAAATGAATGATTTCAGAAGTGTAGCATACTTAGTTTAAAGTTTAGACCCAGAAAACATTATTTGACTAACTGAACTTTTTTATATGCAGATATGGTTCGGCCACCTCATTTACATTATTTTATAGCTATAATCACAGCATGTCATAGCAATCCACAAAAAATGAATTGACCCTAAAATTGTCTGACAATAGATGACGACATTACCTAAGCCAAAAGCATCTATTACTAGGTTAAGAATGATAGGCGAACGGACATACACCGTACTAATTAGTCACCTGACGACCCCCTCCAATATTCAGGTTAAGGTCAGACACACCCAATAGGAAATGAAAAATATCTGCGTTCTAGGTCATAGTTACGCATGAGATACACACCAATAATTAATCATCTTGTTTCTTTGTTTAGAAAAACACGTAGGTAGTAGGCGAAATACGACAATTTGTTTACAGACATATGGTGCGATATTTTTGAATATTAAAGTTTACTGATTTTTGGAAACGATCTACGTCATCAGGTGCGTACAACAGTAAACTGCAAGCTATTTAATCAGATTGATCAAAAATATACAAAATTGGTGTTTATAATGTAGAATTTATGCCAGAAAGTATATTTAAAATTGGTTTTGCCCCCATTGCTAACAGTGGTGAGGAAATAAATTCGACGTGAAATAGATTATACTTCCCTACCAGATAAAGACTTAATGTCTGATATGTGGATGGGATGAACAGTTACAACCAGCAACTAGATACGACTCGTAAAAATATGTGGTAGTGAACCAACGGTGAAGATAGTGAGGTTTATAATAACGAGGATCTAACTAACCAGATTGGAGGATATCTAGACACACTTTTAACAACTAAGATCTTGATATTATAATAAGAGAATTCAATGGACTATTGTCTCCGGATGTGATTGCAAACATGGAGTTGGGTTCACTAAAGAGGGTGTTTACAGAAATACAATTTCAAAATTACGAACATAAGGTACAGAAACCTTCGTTTTAGGATACTACAATTATATCTTGAGAAGTATAGATAAGAGAACTCACTGACTAACTGGAGAAAAATATGTCAAGTTGGACTAATAAATATTCAAGTGATACGTAATTCATTGATTCTGAATACCTAAATAGTTGTGATGGATGTGCATATTGAAATAGAACTACCGCATTAGATCCGGTCAGTTAAAACATGTCGATAGGCCGAAAAGAATAAAAGATGCGACAACGTTACATTAGCCATTGACACAAAAACCCACCTTTTTCGGGACACCGCACCTACACATGTCCCTTAATAATTCCTATGTAATATGAATCTGTCTGGAATAATGCTTTAATAAAGGTACAGTATATGGACTGTATTTTAATTCCGTCACACATAGCATCACCTTCTTCAGTTTGCTATTACTTATTAGTGCATTTGTTAGACTAACGTACGATAACTACTCAAGCATCCTTTAGTTTCAGCTACGTTTGGGAATAACCCATAAGATAAGTGAGCAATGTTAGTGTTTTGATTATCACAATACTTTTAAGATCTTCTAGTTTGAAGTGATGCTGTTAAAAGGCAACGTAAACGTCACGTCAAAACAATAATATTTGCTTCGTTAATTTATGCCAAAGCAAAATATACAAAGTATACTGCTGGTACAAAAATATCTACTTTGCACTCACCTTTTTATGAATTCGAAATGAGTTTCACGAAATGATGGTTGATTTGCTTCTGCTAATAAGAATAAAAAATCATCTTATTAACTGAACTGTTTACATAATAATACGAATGAATTATTAAAGGGAGCGAATGTTGAACACATACATCACATAAAACTTACAACAACAATCTTTTTATAGTTAGGTAAGTGAACATTTTGATAGTTATCGTAATGTAATGTAATAATTTCGTAAGCTTTCGTTCAAAAGTTTCAAACTACACTTATTTCGATAAAAGTACAGGTTTTCAAACTGACATAGTGATTCCAAACGTTTTTCAGTTGAATACACAAACAGCCGATGTGACTCAGTTATCCAATTTGACGATAGGGACAGCGGCTTAATTAAAATTTATCTAAACAGATGAAACATCTATAGGACAATATATTTATATTTGAACATTCAGGTAGTACATGCAACAGTATCATAGGAGTATGAATATAACAGTACATAAAATACTGACTTCTGACACGATATATACATATACAAGAAGTGGTATTAGTCGCACTTTAGGTGTTTATGCTGATTCTCTGTGATATTGGCAGGTGTAGCAACTTTTATGTGAAGGTGCAAAGTCCTTTTACAAGACTATCAGCACCCGGAACCTCCACTTACTCTTGTTAGTAAACAGATAATAGTTGAGAATTTCGTGTATTTGGGTAGCTATGTGAGTGCCGGCGGCGGGGATTGTCAAGTCAACTAATATGTCAGTCACTTAGCAACAACGTAGAACTTCGTGCGTACGTACACCAGTCCAAGTTTCCATACTACATTAGCACAGAGATACAACTGTCGATTCAAACCCCGTAGTGATAGAGGTAGTAAAAGTACAAGCAATAATCGGGAAGATTACGGTTTAAAGATGTTATTCGAGTATAATCCAGTGAAATAAATTTGGAAAGATAAAAAAGGGACATGAAGAATCCAGAAGATTAGGATTCGGGAGAACACAACGAGTGGATGCACCTGCGCCATTGCAAACGATTTTGAGCCATGTCATTCAAGGTCTCTAACCATTGGTTGTTATCGTCTCGCGGATTACAACCAGGTAGTCTACATCTATCAACATGACTCAGTCCAATTTTCAGTGACCTCATGAATTTGTGCCATGTCTCGGTCTAGCCGCCTCTACCTTTCTTTCAACCTACTCCTACACCATAAAACATCGCTTGTCGGGGCAGTCGGGGGTTGGGCATACCTAACACATGTCCCAGCCATCTCAACTGATGAAGTAGTGAAGCTTCATCCGTTTATTTGTCATCCTTACCCAGTACCCGTTTCCTAACAACTGCATTACTTACTCGATAGTCCAAGAACATACGAGCAATGCTTCGAAGACACCTATGATCAAATACTAGTAACCCACGAATATCCTCTACTCTTACCGGCCATGTATCACAGCCATAAAGTAGGACGGAACAAACTGCTGTGCAGTAAACCTGTCCTTTAGTTGATAGACGGATATTTCGCCTACGCCATAAATGATGTAAGTTGACAAAAGCTAGTTGAGCCTTCTGTATCTGTGCTGCGATTTCGTCACACATCGGACCACGAAGGCTGATGAGACTCCCAACACAAGTGAAGTGGTCGACACGCTCAACTACTTCACTCCCTATCATAAGTTCATGTGCCGGTGCAACCCAATCCTGAAACAATATTTCGCATTTCGAGAGGGGGAATCGCAATTAACATGTACTGAAAGCCAGGGCGGCTTATGCTAATCTAGGCCATTATGGGCGCCTTCGTGATGTTAGTTTGTCAGTAAAAGGTTGGAACTATAATGCATCGGCCAGAAAAGTTTTTCTCTATGTTTGTTAAACCCGGCCTCTTTGAGTTGACGATGTCAGACAACTCTGTTTGATCATTGTTGCCCGAAGGATTGCTGACATCCAGTGGCAACATGTTAGTAATGCAGAGGTTCGGTAACGTGTGTCCGGGCACAGTGACGACAACTCGTTTATTATCACCATCTTGAAACACCGGCGTTGGTAGCTCGGACATGTCTTGCGGATGTCGTCTTAGAAAATTTCACATCCTGCATTATTTGGCGACGCTGAGGCTGGTTGGAAAAAGCGGAGATGGCCGCTGCATGACAGTGTTATGGAATGGAAGCTGTACAGGACTGATTTCTGTTAGTTCTTCACGGCTCCCTGGTTAGGGTCCGAAGGATGGTGCAGCAGTAGCTCGAAATGTTATCATACACGGTTCACAATAGAAGTTAGTGGTGATCATGCGGTGACTTAACTTTCTTAATAAAGGTGAGTAGCTTCTTTAAGTAAAAGAATTATTACTAGGTTTATTTTCCTTAGCTGGAGTGATTCTCTCACTACGGCTATTATTATCATAACAATCATTATTACTTCATTCTCATACACTGATTTCTAAGCATTGTTATTCTCTTTATTATGTTCACTTTCCCTATCTCACAACCTCATTTCTTGTGTTGCTTGTGTTTTGATACCTTCTCGTAACAACATTTATGTCCAAATAAACAAAACAAACCTCCCACTCGACATTAAGAAGGCAAGATGAAAGTATGAATACGAAGCAGTAGTGTTAGAAGTAGCACAATCGGTATTAGTACTGGTAGTAATAGTATCATTGATAACAAGAAAGACTAGACGCGAATTATACGATTGGCGAGAGAAATAACTGGAGGAATTAAAAGTACGAAATAATTTCGAAACCAAGGATCTAGGAACAGACACAGCTCATGTGAACGCGGATGACTTTGAGCCATGTTGCCCAATGTTTACAACCACTGATCAAAATTATATCTAGACCATAACTAGCCAGCCCAAACCTACCAAATTAACCACAAAGGTCGATACAGTTGTGACAATGAAGACCAACATTACATATTACATTCCAAATAGTTCTAAAAACGAGAGTATCAATGATGAAGCCAAAAATTTACTCAGAAAATAAAATGCTGTCTGAGGTAAAGGTACTAGAAAATCCATATTGACATTAAGACTTACGAGTGATATAAATATCGAAAGACAGAATCCTCAGCGTCTAACGTTCACACAATTATCTACAACATGATAGGTTTACTATCAGATCTAGTTACATGTGGAATACCACAAAACGAAGCAACTGTTATACCTGTGACCGCCGATTAGAGGGCAGTGACTAATCGAACGGATCAATGACGCGTAAACCCGTATGAGCAGCCTAGAGTCCTGATTGGTCCTGCTTTCCGCCTAGTTCAGCCAGTTAAGTCCAGAACACCAATCCGAGCCTCTGCGATATGAATCATATTTCAAACATGCTGAGTTTATATACCAATCAGACAGACCACAACGTACCATAAAATAGAAAATAACATTTGTAGAAAATTTGGCCAAATGTGGCTGTGAATGTGGGAGGCAGTGGCTAATAGACGGCTTAATTCAAGAACGGTAAAACGTATAATAATGGTTCATAGGTCAAAATAAAGCTTATAATAGGAGGAATATAAATATGGATAGTTTAGTTATTTAACAATTATACGACAAAAATATATGTTAGTATTGATCAATAAATGGATCCCAAAGTTACCATTCGTTATGCTTATCGGGACATAACAGCAACACTAGATAAAGCAGACTGTATCCTAGTACACATAAAGCAGTCTGTCAATGCAGCCATTATGAACAATGTCCCTTGAAATTATCAGACTATATTGTTAATCAACTTAAAATTACGGTCGGTCCCGTCGTTGGGCTCATTTATTGCTGCGGATCACTGTAAAATAACTTGAGATAGCTTGTAGAACATCCACTTTAATTGCTAATATAAGCCGTCAAAACTGAGAGACCTGTATGTTCTAGTAGAAAATAAAATGGAATCTCAATCTAAGCTAAAGCAGTTTAAGGTCCTCGAGAATTATATGAGCACTACGTTTAACAGTAAAACTGAGACCAGTCAGTACAGTCAACTCCTGGGGTTATAAAATTTTAACGCAATGATAACTGAAAACTGACACAATATTGTCGTTAAAAACATATTTTAATACTATTTCAATAATGTCATTACTTGCGCCATTCAGATGAGATCTTTAAGAGCATATACGCCTGAGGATGACTTGCATTCACTGATACAAAAAAACGTATGCAAACATTGTGAACTTACTTGTGCTTTCCACTTCTTCGCTCACAAAAAAACAGAAGTCATAACACTTGGCAGGAGAGCTATCATCAGTGCTTTCCTCACTGCAAAGGATCTTTTTCTTCTTTTTCTTTAAGCGTTTCTTTTTAGAGAAATTCAAACAGTTATTTCCAGTGGCCTCTGACTCTATGGAATCCTCAGTAGGAACAAAGACTTGGCTTTTCCACGTTACACCGCTGAAGCTGATAGGTTTTGATTTTGTTAAGGCAGGGAATTCCTCCAAATCAACAAGGTTATTCTTTCCAGACTCTGAATCACAGTCTAAAGAATAACTATACCCTAGGACCATGTTTAGAATGCTAGTAGTGATGCGAGTAGGGTTATTTTTACTGGATATAATGAATATTAACTTCTCATCAATCAAGAGCAGATTCTTGAATGGATGAACAACCAACTTAGAGAAAAATTTAGTGAACTTTAATAACTTCGACGAATACAACCGTCAGTCGCCAGTAAATCTGAGTAGATTCACAAACGCGCTCCCAGAAAGTATCAGCAACATAAAGATCCAAAGTATTCAAACAAAAAACACCTTAAATTTCAAATGGTTCAAATGGTTGTGGACGGAATAGAAGAAGCTTTCGCTTAACAGGCTTCCGTGTCTAGTAGCAGGGGATCACCAAATCCTCCAGGTAGGAACCATGCAACAAATCACAAGAGTAAAACCGTGACGGTTAAAAGTTGTTCAAATGGTTTTATATGAAATTAATAAAGCTTTCGCTTGATTATCTACTGTATCTAGTATCAATAGGTCACCGATGCCTCCATGTAAGAACTTAGCTATATCTAACGATGGTAAGAGAATTATTAGTGAAGTATAATGAAACACTCTCATATTTCAGATTCAGATTCGTGCAGTAAGAACGGAAGGCCTATGGCCTATGTTATGCCGTTTCTATTATGTTCCTGTGAGCTTCCAGTCTTCTCTTGTAAGAGTCAATTGGGGGTGCGGACACCACTGCTTCGGGCAGCAGGTTCCAAGTATTAATGACTCGGTGTGAAAACCTATATGCCACGGGTAGTTTGTTCGTTCTTGGTTTTTCTACTCGCCTGCTATGTCCTCTGAGATGCCCCGATCTAGTGGGAAGAAAAAGGGAGAATAAGTTAGGTCCAAAATCCATTCTCAGTACTCTATACCTCAAAGTTAAATCTCCCGTTAATCTGCGATAGGACGGAGTGAAGAGGTCCAGCTTTTCAAGACGCTCTTTGCATGGTAAACCCCGGAGTTCTGGATTTACGCGGGTAGCTGCTCCCTGTTCTTTTCCTAGGATATCCGAGACACCGTTTAAACGGGCTTGCAGCCTGAACGCAGTTTTCAAGCTTAATTCTCACCAAGGATGTATATACTGTGGTGAACATGATAGTATCTAACTTAGTGAATGTCCGTTTTAAGGCCCAGAGGGTTCAAAACCCCTTAGCTGCGACCTTCCGGCAATGGGCCGTCATCTTAAGATCATAACTCACTGTCACTCCTAGATCCTTATGAGACCGGACCACGGGTAATGGCACTTCTCCTATGTTGTACCTATTAACCTTTGAATCCCCATAGTGCATGTAGACATACTTTGCCGCGTTGATAGGCATCAGTCAATCTTTAGACCAGTGAATCATATTATTTAGGTCTACCTGAAGAGCACATTCATCTGTGTCTCCAGCTATTACTCTCCAGATCTTTACATCGTCAGTGTATAATAACACTGAAGACTGTACTATACTTGAAAGATCATTAACATACATTATAAAAAGTGAAGGACCCAGGACGGAACCTTGAGGTACCCCGCTAAATACTGGTCTCCAGATGGAGCACTTGGAATTTATTCTTACTTTCTGTCTACGACCTACTAGGAAATCCTTAATCCATTTTAAATAGGGTCCGGCAATACCAACTTCAATAGCAGTCTATTAGTTGGCACCTTGCCAAAGTCTTACTGAAGTATATGTAGACAACATCCACTGGGTTTCCGTTGTCTAGCCCCTTTATTCAAAATTCCTTTGCTATAAGGAGGTTCGTTGTGCATGATAGACCCTTCCTAAAACCATGTTGTTCTATGTTTAGCAAGTTATTGGTTTCCATAAGTACCATTATGGTCCGTTTGACTATTCTTTCCAATATTTTAACCACAACACTGGTGAATCTTACAGATCTGTAGTTCGATGGAAGTTGTCTTGCTCCTGTTTTATGTATGGGAGTGACAATTGCGTCCTTCCAGTCCATAGGTAACACACCTCGGTCAATTGACATATTGACTATCACAGTCAGCGGAGCCGCGATATCTTGTGCAATATGTCTCATGATTTTGGGGTGTAATTCATCTGGTCCTGTTGATTTTTCCATGTTTAAGGTGTTAAGAGCCTTAAGCACATCGTCTTGATCGAAGTCCACGATGACCAGGTGGTTTGTTGACTTTTTATTTTGGTCTGGTTCTTTGTCTAGAGGAGGTTCCTGAGTGAAAAATGCCCTAATATAGTCAGCCATAGCCTCTGCTTTTTCCTGATCTTCCTCTATCATTTCAGATTCACTCCCTTCTTTAATTAGGTTGGGAATCCAATGATTCATTCTTGTTCTATAGTTTATGTACGAGAATATTCTCTTAGACTGCTTGGGTGCAGATTGTGTCAACTGCATTTCATATTTTCTTGAGCTCCCCGAATTTTTGTTATACACTTGTTTCTTACCGATCTGTAGCGTTTCATCGTACCCGCTGTGCCAAGGCGGATGGCAACATCCCAACATCTCTTCTTTTGTCTTAATAAACGCCGAATATCCCAGCCAATCCAGGGATGGCCGTGCTTCTTCTCCTTTGGAACTGTCCAGGGTATGTATGGTTGAGTTACCCAATTGTATAACTGCCTGAAAATAGTCGATGCCATTTGTACTGATGCCCTTGAGTCGATTTCCCAGTTTTCAGCCGATGCTGCGGAGTTGATTGCCTCCATATCTCCCTTCCATATATTAGGACGGGCCGGCGCAACTGCCTGACAGGAAATCTCAGCCATGAATTTGAGTAAGGTGACGGCATGGTTACTTCTCCCTAGTGGTGGGAGAAAAGTCATTTGACCAACATCATCACCGTGTGTGAAGTCTAAGTCTAAGAGAGAAGAAGAGTTTCTTAAGTCATATCTTGTGGGGTTTCTGATGTGTTGGAATAAAGCTAATCCAATCAAGGTTTCTAACATTTTGCAATCGAACGACGTTATCGATGACCCTACTTCTAAGTTAACCCAGTTTATATACAGTGCATTAAAGTCACCTACTACAAGGTTTTTACCCTTGTTACATTGGGACTTAAGTCTACTTAGGAGAAAATCATCTGCTACACATTCTGGACTGCGATATACTACAAGTAATTTAATATCATGCCGTCTACGTTTCGGCTTACGTCACCCCAGTTCACATGTCCCTGTAACATGTGCCATTGTCTCAGCTACCCTTCTGGTTAAATTACTTTTGTGTACAGGATAACCCAGCCTCACCTACAGTCTATTCTATCAGCCCAAGTGGTTAAAAAACCAGCGAATCTCAGAGCTTCATTACTCAGAAACTGTAAAAGATGGGCCTACAGTCCATTCTGCTTCGTCATGTCTATAATTTCCATGTCACCTCTAAGTTTCGTGCTGAGAATGAGTTTCATTGGGTGTTCGGGGGCGTGCACGAGAGTGTTTAGGACCTCACAAGTCATCAGAAAAGCACTTCTGAGACGCCTATACTCAAATGTACTAACCACACAATCCTCAAAGTTGAACATGAGATCATTGGATAAATAGATATTCAACATTTAAAACAGAATGCCAACACTGATGGACGCAGGATATTCATGAATTCAGTCGGATAGCATGGCTCAGCCTCACAGACGCAGCCATTCTGCGTAACTCTTTTTTGTTCACACCATATGTATTATCCTATGTTCAGCTTAAATATGTTCTTCAGAAGTATTACGTATCATATTATTAATTGTTGTGATGCGGTGAGTCAGCTCAGAGAATGCTGTGACTACGTCGTACGATCTTGTAGATTAGATAGTCACATCGTGACAAATTTGTGCTTTTAGGATTAGGTCTATTATTAGAGTTGTACTAATAACGAACTAGACCATAATTCTACAATAATTTTCCCAGTTAACTCATGCTCAGCTTTGAGGACTGTGTGGTTAGGACCAATACTACTACAAAACCACTAGGACATTCTGTAGTCTGGGAAAAAAATTATTGTAACCCAAAAAGGTCAACTATTTGGATGTGGAGTAAGCTAATGTATTAACGGTGACTTGTTACCTAACAGAATGAGCCTACTTATGCAACATGTATGACTGGCTCTATCAAAAGCTTTGGAGAAGTCGAGGTATATGACATCAACCCCCCCTGAGATCAATTATGGTGGTCCTTCTGTCCACCGCCATTTTACAAGAATTGCTCTGCCTGAAACCGTGCTGTTGATTATGGATATAAAGCAGTTGTGTAGAACATCGTACATCAAGGCTTCGTAACTTTCAAGGATATTGAGAGAAATGCTGTCGGCCGGTTTCTTTAATGTTTAATGAGTCGGCCTCCATGGAAAATCGGTTTCCGATTTTCTGTTACCGTGCCTCGGTTTGACGGATGTGAGAATATCACACTAAGCGATTTTTCAGGTGTTAGTTATGTCCATAACTAACCAATCAAATAATCGTTTAAGCGCCCAGCATGTTGATCTGGTCTGATGTGTCTGTAAACTATCCCTGTCGCATGTGACCTAGCAATTGGAAGACATGATTATCCTATTATGTTGGTGTGACTCAAAATTTTACTCGTTTCGATAAGACATGCAATACTGGCCGGTATGTTTGTGCATTTCACCTAATAACTGTGATTTTTAATTATTGTACTAAGCTAATTGTTTCTACGTTCAGAAACAGATATAGTTTAAAACCAAATTGTCCTTGTTCTGACTACAGCTTTCACACAGACTCTGTTATAGCCAGTATCGCGTTCACGGTTCTGGCAGTATATATGTAGGACAAATTAAGTTCCACACTAAGATGAAATCCGTTTCTTTGAGTATAACAGAATGGACCGTATCCTTGCCAGGAGAAATGTCCTTGTTTGGATATGCAGCTCTTGATGTGCACCGCTCACTTTCATTTACGATTACTTTTGAGCTTCAGGTGAAGCTCTTGTCGATGTATTTAGTATGTGATGGTCGAAGCGTTTGAAATTACTGTTCTGCCAGAAGATCGGCTGTCTTCGTTGTCGGTCAAACCATTAAAACACAACAACTGGGAGACTCCTGTTCTGGCTAATCGAAGAGAGGTTTCATGATGAAGTCTTTCGTACTGGAGACAAATTTCTCAGTTAGCTATGTCTGATACTGAAACCTATCTTCTTTTGTTGCATTTGAACATTGGGTTCTTACTTGTTTGAACTGCCTCTGTGCGCCGTCATCACTAGTTTGTTGATATTGAGCCCAGTAGTGCCTCTTGCGTTTTAGCATTCGAAGAGTGCGAGTACTTATAACTGCACGTTGATTATAGTTTCCAATGCCCTTTCACGGGACAGACAGGCCTGTAACACATAACATTGTGTGCAATACGAAATCCCAATTAAAGTTCACATCAAGTTGATAGTGAACTTCCCAGTCCACCTGCGTTTCGTTGTCCTGTAAAGCTCACACATCCAAACGTTTGGAATTCCAACGCCCTTCGTTAGTGAGATATTTCAGCTCAGTTTCGCTGACAAAATTGATGACCATGACGGACTGATTACGTATTCCCAAGACAGCCAGGACTGAGAGATCGAAAACCAGTTACAGTAGAGTTTTTACCTCTAATATGCGTGTATTTAGCTAAAATGAATTTAGGAAGATTGGAGTCTCCTTGATTCACGATATGAGTGTATGGGTAACAAATACAGCGCAAGGATTCCTCCAGCATACTTGTAGACAGCAATGGACTTTCTCTGAATGACTTCGGCCAGACATCTTAAGGTGTTAGTGAGTCACAATAAGCACCGTACAGATTCATGGAGACTGACGGGCTATTAGGGTTAGAGATCTCTCCATTCCAGTTTCTCTGCCGTTGAAGAACGAAGGTATATCAGGAATTACCAGCTTCTTATTCGTAATTTGAGATATCTATATCTTACATGTTCCTATCTTACGTACGTGAACCTGTTACCCTTCGTGGATAAGCATAGTCCACCCACCAGCATTCTCTATCCAACTATGTTCTACACAATCCTTTCCACTTGGTTGCAGTTGATATTCATCCTTTTCATGTCTGCTTCTAATTCTCGGCTCAGTGTGTTATTAAGTCTTCCGCTCCTCCGTTTTCCTTCAGCTTTCCAAGTTGGCACTTGCCTCGTGATGCAGTTTTATGAATTCCGTTATGTATGTTGTATCCACCTCCAACGAATTTTTTAATTTCCTCGCCAATTGGAAGCTTGTTTTATTCGCTCTCACAGTAGCCTGTTGCCGAAGGTATCTGGTCAACGGACATTGAGTATCTTGTGTAAACAATTGTTTATAAATACTTGTGCTTTGTTGATGATGGTTGTGGTAGTTCTCCAGGCTTCATTTCCCTACAGTAGGACTGTTTTGAGGTTCGTATTGAAGGTTCTGACTGTGATAATTTGGATGTACTTATAATAAATAAGTCAATGTTAATTCATAGAGGTATATCGTTCGACGAGGCTCAGATAAGTAAAACATTCATGTATAACAGGAAACAGAAGGAAGCGCAACAACTAGACAGACACTCTGGCACAGAAGGATACGGAAATACCCGCCAGCGCTTCGGACGAGATCCGAGTGTCTGGACATGAGAAGGAATCTACAGCTGGGAGATTATTTGTTAGTAAACAATGTTGGCCCACAGATGAATCTGTGGCAGAAAGCTATAAATAGACAGGCCAATCATGTGCCAGGTGGACGAGTTAGGAATGTTAGGCTGAAGACAGCAACCGAAGATATCTGCAGGGAATTACGAAGTTTGTGCCTATTGGAAGAGGCTGATTAGTTGAACACGACAGTAGTGAAGTATGGACGTGATGCCCGCTTAGTGATATGTTAGGCATTTCCATAACTTACCAATAAAATCGTTGCTTAAGGGCCTTCCACTTGATTGTTCACAGTTTCTTTCGAACCCATTTGACGTATGAAATACAATATTTTCTACTTCACTGCAAAAGTATAAGAAAACCAATAAGTATTTCCTACGGCGATCCACGAAATTCTTTTAGAGACTCAAGTGAGTAAAGCCTTAAGTCTATGAGGGACAGAAAATGTTAATTCAAAAATAGTTGCAAAAATGTTTAACAAAGTATAAAGATGATGAATAATGTAAAAAAATACAAACACACTGATAAAATTCTCGAACATAATATGTGTCGTCAGGCGTAGCGTGTTCAGTTTTCAATCACAATTGTAGTTAGAAACTAACAGTTGAAAACACGGTATCTTATTCTTGGCAATATGTATCGCAGATAATCTAGAGATATGGATACAAATGTGATCTGCAGATTTGTACATCAATCGCGCCAACGATCTGTCAATATGGTAGCCGACTGAATGAAAACTAGGAATGCATGAACACCAGTGTATGTAGAGGCAAACGGGTAATTTACGGAGAAACATTGAACTTAACGATATTCTAGTCATCAGCAACAACTTGATAGAATTATTGAAATTATAAAAATGCGTATAATGTAAAAATCGCTTACGAAATAAGTTTATGCTAAACACTGTAAGTCAATGAAACTACTTTTCCGAATGTAGGCTACTTAGACTTATTATTTTATTGATCTACTACATTCTAGAAACCTTTATGCTTTCTGCAGAATACTTACTAAAGTCTGGTTCCAGCACCAATTATATGGGGAATACCTGGAAAATAGAGGTACAGCGTACTAAAGTGAACTGTGAGCATAATTCCTCCTCACCACAAGCATTCAAGTCTTGGGATTCTCTAAAGGTTGGTGTAGTCCAGGTAACTTGCCTATAGCCCGTCAGAAGGAAACGTGCTATATTTCTATGTACTTGAAAAACAGTAACTCTTAGACTTTTATTTATTTTATATACTCAGTCCCTTCCTAAAGAAATTCGAGTTTCACTACTACTAGACACGGAAGCTTGTTGAAAGAAAGCTTCTTATAATCTTCTGAAAAGCATTTGTACAATTTGTGTACGGATGATTTTATTCACACGATGTGGGAGCTTTAAATAATAACGTTACATGTCCAACTGGCAAGCTGTACTAAAATGTCATCTCTGCCAAAGGATTGCCTAGAAAACGTGGCAATTAAGGAGTTTCAGAAAAAATACAAGCTTGATTTTGATGAGATATTTGATCTTGCTCAGACATTTTTCAATGGTGAGATATGCTCAAATAGAATATCATTCAATCTAACATCTAGAGAAAGCTGAGAAGGCGTTCCACTTAAGTTTTGACGATCGGATTCATCTTTCGGCCCTCATATGTATTAAGAAGTACGGAAAGTACGATCGAACAAAAACACCAGTACCTGGGCTTCTTGATTTTATAGGGCAGAGGAGAAAGTAAGTACAGTTATTAGCCTAATTCTGTGTACTTGAATGAGATTTATTATAAGGCCAATAAATTTTGATCTATAAATAAGAAATTTTGATCCACATATATGTACATATATTATGCAAAAACAAGGAGGTTAAGTGGATATACCTCTTATACATGGTTCAAAAACTTGTCAAGGTTAGAAAGAGGTTCAGAGGTTCCGAAATCGTAATGCGTGCGGTAGAGGAAATCATCCATACCGCTACAGAATAGTCGGCCTCTGGAGCCATGATAGTCTCAAAACTTTCAGCCTCGACCACATAGCTCCAATAGTGTTTGTGTGCACTCCGGTTGTTCAGTACAAAAAATGTTACTTGTGGATAACGACATGATGCACATAACCAAGCCTATTTAGGAGTCTGTACGCTCTCCAAACACCTGTATATATTGTAGTACTTGGCTGCAGCCAGGGTTACTGGTGCTTTTATTATCCAGTTCGCGATAATTGTCGTGATTTGCCTTAGTTAGGAATTATATATGGGGTTTTCATCACGAACTGACAGCTATAATGCCAGAAATCTATTTAGCCAAATGGATGAAAGACTTTCGCGTTAAGATCCGAGATTTATTATTTTATACCTGATTGATTCGTCCACAAATGATAGTCTCGCCTTTTATTTTTGTTATAGCCGCTCAACTATCACGTTTTGTACAAAATCCCCTGTGAACCGATCGTACGTTAGCACTAGGCACTGAAGTTGGCGCCATAACTTTTGAATCTCTAAAACGCTTATGATTGACTCGTCCACAATTTAAAGCCTCGCCTGGTTTTCTAACATTTACTGCCTAATTCTACTCATTGTTTAACACATATTCACGGGTGTCGTCTCGTCATTTTTGAAGTTGCATCTGTCCAGTGAACTTAATACTAAAGTAAAAAGAGTTTCATCAGGAAAGAAATACGGCTTGCAGCATTCAGTCTTCAGTAGTAATGATAGGTCTATTGACCTATATTAATCCTTGCAGTTCGTAAGTGTGGGGGCCTAATCTTGTTTTGAGTATATAAACAAAAGGTGCTGATATTATGTTTAGAGAATTCCAATAATTCACTACTCGGTGAGAGAAGCGAAACCTCAAACGACTTGATCTCAGTTTTTGATTTTTCTTCGAATGTCCTTTCAAATGATCAGTCCTAGACGGAAGAAAAAGAAAAGACATTAATATCAAGGCCATCGTTTAGTATACGATAACCAATATTAGATCGCCTCGTATTCTTCGGAGATAAGTTGAGGTGTCTCAGTCTTCATAGGATAGACCAGAGAGATCTTTTACCATTTTAGTCTCTCTTCCTGTCATGGAGAAAGTCACTTAATCAGTCTATGACATTATAATGGATTTCAAAACTTTCCAGTTTCAATTTAAGATCCGAATGGAAGACCTTATCAAAGTTTTACTTAGATCTACGAGAATTACACCTACAGGAATATTTCGATATTTTGCTGCAGCCCAATCGTCTTGCAATCAGCAGATTTTTCAAACATGGTAGGCCTTTCCGAAAACCATGTTGTTCTCTGGATAAAAGATTATTCCCTTCCACATAGTTCATAGCAGCCATCCAAATAATCTTTTCCATTGGTTTTACAACTGCACTGGTTAGACTAACGGATCGATAGTTACTAAGTCACTCCTCTCCACCTTATACGCCGGACTGATTATTGCGTCTTTCCATTCTCTTGGCAGTTCGGACTGCCTCAGAGCCATATCAAACAGTTTGGCTATAGGTTTAGCAATTGCATTCGATAGGGCTTTCATAATCCTAGGATGAATATCATCAGGCCCACTGGACTTACTAAGTTTGAGATGCTGAAGTAGTCTTAAGACAGTACTTTTCTCAATAACGACAGGGTCCATCAACGAGCCGCCATAATCACAATTGTTGGTCGTTCCTTATTGTTAATCGAAAACGCTTTACTGAAATATTTCAATAAAGCTTCAGCTTTTTCGGCAATCTTAGCAACGCACTCCTGAATGGTTGATAAGTTAGCTCTCCATACATTTGGGCGAGATTTAACCTGATCGTATATCATGTCACTAGCTCTAAACGTGGATGACAAGACAGCGTGGTCGCTATTCACTAATGGTGGAAGAATATTTATGTTGGCAATATCCTCAGTCGCATGAGTAATTACCAAGTCCAACAAAGAAGAGCCTTGGTTTGCACCAAAATGTGTGGGTTTGGATACATATTGTACTAATGCATGCTCCATTACGGTTATCAGGAGTTTGCTATCAAAGGAGTTTATAGATCCCATCCTCACTCCAACTAATATCAGGTGCATTAAAGTCTCCTAATATCAAACATATGTTATTTGCACTCCATAGCTGAATATGCTCTAAAATAAAATCATCAGCTAAGCAGGTTGGGCTGCGACAGATGACACCGAGTATAAATGTACAAAATCAGATAGCTCACAGCTAATGCCTTAACAAGTTCCACTATCATGGGATTCGCAAGCAAAGGAGCAGAAGATATTTATATTATTGGCTATTTATGAAAGGACTCCACCTCCTTTCCTACATCTTCGTCTATCACTTGTTAGGTAGTGGTATCCGGATAGTTCTGGAGTAATGTCGAAGTCCTTGACGAACCAAGTTTCCGTCACAGCTACAATGAGGGGCGTTGGTTTGTCCACTAATGCTCCCAGTTCATAGAATTTATTTCTTAGACTACGAATACTGGCATATAAAACTCCTAAAAAGAACGGCCTATCCACACAGGCCTTGATAGCATTCGCTTCTAAGACCTAACTATCCAAAAACCCACTAATTGGAGATTTTCCTCACCATTTTGTCGATGGGTTTCTGGTTCAGCTAGTGCCAACTTCATTTTTATTCTATATTCAAGAAACATATCAGGCCTTACTTGAATGTCGGTATTGTCGTTACTACGAGCGCTACTTAACAGAAGACCATGTTGCTTCTCCAACCTAGAATTACCTTAAGGAGTCTATATGGTCAGAGTTCAACACTGTCGTCAGTTCTCTTACCTATTCTTATCAATTTTTTGACCTGAACTTCTTTAGAGTTATCTGGTGAGATGCTACGGATAAGGTCTCCGAGCTTTTCCAAATCATGTGCGTGTCTAATTATGGGATCGAGATCGTTTGACTCTAGCAAATTACTCACAGTAATATTCGATGAGATTAAATTCTCAGCCACGCCAGGGTGGAGTTCTGTCTTACTATCAGACTTTGGTAGTGTATTTTATGACTCAGAATGAAAGTTCACCAATGACTTGCCAACCAAGTGTGTACCGCTTATAGCTCTTTTTCTTTCACTGCTTTTTCTCGTGTGGCACATATGTATTTGGTGCCCCCTCGTACCATTATTTATGTGTTCAAATGAATAAATAAACAAATAAACTTTTTTTCCTCTGTACTTCCGTCCATTTTTCATCACTCAAGACAGCCACACGGGGACTATTAGGAATGGTGACGATTTTACCCGGGTCTTCTATTTATATTGAAGATGCATGACTAGCTACCCATGTCAATATCAGTTTGCACTTCACTCCTCGTTGGTTTTAACGGAGATTTTTTTCGTTAATCACGTCCCGTAACAGCACGTATTACGCTGACACATTCTTCACTGTCAGTACTCGTAATACCAGCTAAACTACCATCTTTCTTCTTACTGGCCAAAGCTAATAGGCTCATAGCCTCCTGGAGCCCCAGAATTCCCTGGTATGGCCAGGAGTGGGGTGGGCCCGCCCTCCTCGAAATGCTCTCACACGGCCATGCGTATACAGCCTCTGCCAGGGAAGTCCCACTCACTGCCTTCTCGTGGCGGGGGTGTTGTTCACGAAAAGGAGAGAACAAATAGCGAATGTCCGGTGCTTTAATCGGATCCCGAACCAAATCAATGGTGCACATGCGCTCCAGTATCCTAAGGGAACAAATGCGTAAGAACCAACTTTCGGTCACCGGCTACCATGGGACTGCATCTCCTTACGATGCTCCATTGCCTTATGGGTTAGACCTTTAGGTCAAAGGCTCGGGGTGTGGCCCCCTAAGATAACCACCTGCTTCGGTCTGGGCACCCGGGCAGTATCGCAGCCCACACGCAATTAATGAACTGAACTGTCTATGATCATGGAAACTAATTCTCTTGCTTCGACGAACATTCAAATGATTCAAATATTATTATTGCTATTATTATTATTATTATTATTATTATTATTATTACTATTTACTACGTCATTATTCGCCGTCTTTTATTCCCACTATTTATACTTATTTTTTCGACTTATACAGCAGCTCGTCTATGGTGGAAATTCGACTCTATCTAAACGTTCTCGAGTCACTGTCCGGTTGAAAATTGTATGTTACCACCGAATACGAGTACTGAAGCAGTTTTTCTGAAACCACGTGCACCATTCAAACTGGCTGCCTTCAACGTTCGCACATTTATGCAGGTCGGACAACAGATAGGGCTGGCTATGTCTTTGGAAAGTCTTAATATCGATGTTTGTTGTCTATCCGAGACCCGTATTCAAGACTCTGGCGAAGTACTACAAATTCGATCTCCATCTGTCGCTTCGAAAAGCTTGTTTTACGTGCGCTTATCCGGGGACCCTGTGGCATCTTCGTCTGGTCTTGCTGGCGTTGGTGTCGCACTAAGCGCTAGAGCTGAGGCAGCACTAGTCGATTGGATCCCCATTAACAGTCGGTTATGTGCTGTTAGATTAGAAAGTTCCATCAAAGTGAGAAGAAATCGGCGTGAGAAACGATGTCTTTTCGTCATCTCCGCCTATGCCCCGACAGATTGCAGCCCGGATGCAATCAAGGATGAGTTTTACCACCAGTTATCTGTTCTTCTCCAGAAAGTGCGTTCGACAGATATTGTAGTACTAGCCGGAGACTTGAATGCTCAGGTCGGGCGTCTAGGCACAGAAGAGAGTCGTTTAGGTGGCCGATGGGGACTTGTTGGTCGCAGGTCAGATAACGGGGACCGTCTACTGCAACTTTGCACAGACCACAACCTGTTTCTGGCTAGCACTAACTTTCGGCACAGTCATCGCCGATGTGCCACCTGGCGTCCTCCCTCTGCATCTCAAGCCTGGACTCAGATTGATCACATCGCGATCAGCTACCGCTGGCGTGGTTGTGTACAAGACTGCCGCTCCTTTTGGAGTACCTATCTGGACTCTGACCATGCCTTGGTCTGCGCCAATCTTGCCTTACTTTTCAGTGGACAACGAAGTGACCGCCATCAACGGATTGATGTTAGCAAGCTGGTTGCAACTTCTGTTGCAAGTAAGTATCGAACCGAGCTAGCCTCTAGGCTAGCTACCACTCCACCGAAAAGTATAGATGAGCATTGGTTGCAATTGCATGACGCCATGAAAATGGCGGGAACAGTCAGTTGTGGGTTTGCGAAACGTCCCGCTTTAAGCACTGGGTTTCTTCTGGTTCCTTACAACTCATTGAAGCCCGTCGGTCTACTCCGGGTGACCGTGAGTTTGACCATAAACGAAGGATGTTACGTAAGGAAATTGGGCAAAGCTTGCGTAAGGACCGAGAAGCCTGGTGGTCGGAGCGTGCTAATGAGCTGGAAGCAGCAGCTGCATCTGGTAACTACCGGAAGCTCTTCCAGCTCATCCGAGCCACTGGCAGCAAGAAGTCTGGTGTGAGTGAAACAATCTGCGAGGATGATGGGATGCCAATCACTAACATCCATCGACGTCTTGGACGATGGGCAGAATTTTTCGAAGGGCAGTTCAACTGGCCTGCTGCTCCGGCAACATCGGTCAGACTGTCCTGCCCTCCATGGCCGGTGACGACTGATCCACCAAATGAGGAGGAAGTCCGCAAGGAACTCCAACTCTTGAAGCGTTACAAATCACCTGGCCCAGATGACTTACCTCCGGCTCTTTTTAAAGATGGTGGTGACTTTTTGACTAAGGAATTGACGACGTTGTTTACAAAGGTTTGGGAACTAGAGAGTGTACCAACGTCATGGAATGAGTCGATAGTTGTCCCTATCTTTAAAAAGGGTTCACGTCGTTCCTGTAACAACTATCGGGGGATAAGTTTACTTCCGATTGCGTCCAAGCTATTGGCTTCCGTCATACTTCGTAGGTTGTTCAAAACCCGAGAAAGATTGACTCGCGAGGAGCAGGCTGGGTTTCGTTCTGGTCGAGGATGTATTGATCATATCTTCACCCTCCGCCAAATGTTAGAACACCGCCATACTTATCAAAGGCCAACAATCGTAGTGTTTCTTGACATCAGGGCTGCCTTCGATTCGTTGGACAGGACTGTTCTCTGGGATTGTCTATTGAAGAAGGGTGTGCCTGAGAAGTTTATTAACATCCTAAAAGCCCTAATAAAACACCTCAGGCAGAGTGAGGGCATACAACCACCTCTCTCCATTGTTCCATTCGAGCAGTGGGGTTAGGCAGGGTTGCCCAATCTCACCATTCCTCTTCAACTTTGCCATCGATGACATTCTGGAAACAGCTCTGATGAATGTAAGTAATGGTGGTGTGGATCTGTTGCCTGGAGAAAGACTTCTCGACCTTGAGTATGCGGACGATATTGTCTTACTGTGCGATAATGCCCAAGGCATGCAATCCGCACTTAATCAGTTGGCAATCAGTGTCCGTAGGTATGGTATGTGCTTTGCACCTTCGAAGTGCAAAGTACTTCTACAAGACTGGCAGGATTCTAATCCTGTACTCACCCTGGATGGTGAGCAGATAGACGTAGTCGAGAAGTTCGTGTATCTGGGTAGCTGCATAAGTGCTGGTGGGGGTGTGAGTGATGAGATCAATGCACGAATAGTGAAAGCCAGAGCGGCTTATGCCAATCTGGGCCACCTTTGGCGCCTTCGTGATGTTAGTCTGGCTGTAAAAGGTCGGATCTACAACGCGTCGGTGAGAGCAGTTTTGCTCTATGCTTGTGAAACCTGGCCTCTCCGAGTTGAGGACGTTAGACGACTCTCTGTGTTCGATCATCGCTGTCTCCGAAGGATTGCTGACATTCAGTGGCAACACCATGTCAGTAATGCAGAGGTTCGGCATCGTGTGTTCGGGCACAGAGATGATAATCAATTGGTGTCACCATCTTGAAACACCGACTTCGGTGGCTTGGACATGTTCTCCGAATGTCGTCCCAGAGAATTCCACGTCGTGCATTATTTGCCGACTCTGGGACTGGTTGGAAGAAGCGGAGAGGTGGTCAGTGCATGACATGGTGTCGTGGCATGAAAGAAAGCTGCAAAGGACTGGCTTGTGTTGGTCCTTCACGACTCCCTGGTTGGGGTCTGAGAGATGGTGCTACACAGTGGCTAGAGACGTTATCAGATATGGCTCAGAATAGAAGCCAGTGGCGATCCTGCTGTAACCTTCTTTTACTTTCTTCATAAAAAGTGGTTGTATCTTCCTTAACTGAAAGATTTCTTCTGATTGTACCCTTCTGTTCCCCTACTACTACTATTATTATTACACTGCCTTACACCGATCTCTTCGTTATTGTTTTTTTAAAATTTTTTTTACGTTCCCCACCTTTTTTTCTTCTTCTTCTTCTTAAATTCTCATTGTTTTGTGTGGCGCATATATATTTGGCGCACTCCTGTACCAATATATATGTGTTCAAATAAATAAATAAATAATCTCCTTACGATGCTCCACTGTGCCTTGTGGATCAGACCTTTAGGCCAAAGGCTCGGGCTGTGGTTCCCTAAGAAAACCACCTGCTTCGGTCTGGGCAACTGGGTAGTATCACATCCCACACGCAAATCAAGTGGCTTGTGTGGCGCATATGCATTCGGTGTTCCTTTGTATCAATAGTTATGTGATTAAATAAATAAAATAAATCCCTTCTCCACGGGGAATAAACAACTTCGCTGTCCACATTTATAAGTACTGCCAACCACTGTGATCAGATTAAGGATCAAATCTTAATATGAACACACGTGTCAGAGTCGATGAGAAGGAAGGCAACACAAGACAAAATTTCAAACCTTAACCGAAATGCTTCAAGTTAAATAAAAACAAGAATGCTTTTTGATACAATAAGTAGAAAAAAGTAAAGATAATCACAACAATTACTAGATCACTGCCCCTTTTGCTCTCAAAGCATGTAGCAATTTAGGTCATTTGTTTTGGGTATTCATTGTAGTGGCCATCAAGTCTCATGAACCATCCAGGTGTATATGATTGGACTTAATTCCTACATAGTACAAAAGTGAACCGATGACTCGTCTACGGACAGCTTTGGGCATAGTTAAGTATCCACCCACAATTTGCTTCAGAATTAGATATCGTGTCTCCGACTTGCATCAAGTTAGAAATGAATTAACTGTACATAAGACTAGCAAAACCTGAGTATCCAGAGGTCTTTGAAAATTGTTTGTAAATTAATACTTCGGCTTATTGAGGGATCAGTTAGCTTACGATTATCGTAATTTGTCTTGACTAACCTATCGAGTTTTCGGGCCTTATCGTACTAAGCTGCTTAATTGTTATAAATAAAATGTATTTACTCATGAGTATTTCTATAAAATTTCTTGCTATCCGGAAGATTTTGAACCTTGAGAGTACCACCACCGAAAATTGATTATGACGTTAAGTTGGACAAAGTAAGCCAGAGTTTAGTCTGTCGTTTCACTGAAGATTCAAATGACTAAACCTACGATATGTTATGTATAATAATCAGTAATAATTACAACATATAATAAAAAGCAAATCTCACGTTTGATAAAAGGTAAGTTTTCTTTAGGATTAAGTAAAGATGACGAACAGTGATGGTAAAAATATTTAAACCCTATAAATGAAATGTGGATCTGTATTTATCTTTTAGTGCTCGTTGGGAAACCTTAAGTGATATGAAGCCAAAAGAAGCTGAAGTAGAGTTCATAAATAGGATTTGTCACCTATGTCCATTATTCATATCATATTTGGAAGCCTATTCACGCAGCAAAGGAAGTGTTGCTGATCATTTTTCAAAGTAAGAATTTTAAACAATCGTGATTTTACCTACTACATTTAAAGATCCTATGATCACTTATAAATCGTAATACGTCTGTCACTTGGGATACCACCTATTTCACCAAGATCAGGAAAATTAAATTAAACTTAAATTTCATCCTGTAAAATCATATATGTATTTTATTCATTTAGTAGGTAAGAAGTCGGTTAGATGATTGTCATTCTTTATGATATTAAAGCGCTTTTTCTGATAGCTAGGGGGTAGAAATAGGAAATAGTCGAGTATATTATGTCTGTGGTTCCATGACAATACGTCTCAAAATTTACTTCATTAAGATTCGTTTACACTCAAGGATTAAGATTTAGTTGGTTATTTAAAGATAACTACTTTTAGGGTTCCTTGGTCATTAGTTTTTAAACAACCCTAAAATTACTGCCTTCAGGCCCAAATTGAAGGTTTTATAATAAGAGTAAACGGGCCTGTTAAAATAATACCTTGATCAGAAGTTCAAGATTTTAAACATTACTTCAATTACTCCAATCTAAGTTATTGATTAATCTTGACTACATTTATTATAAGTCGTTTACGAAGAACAGGTTTATGTACTTGACTGCTCGAAATAATGTAGATGCAATGCAATTCAAACCTGTAATTTATTGGTTCAAGGCTCAATTATTTGATTCAAAACATCACATTGCAATCCAAATTCATAGATTTCCTTGTTACTGGAGCAAGAAAACTTGTGGTGGACAGTAAGGTCTTAGTTGATTGGAGTATGAGTGGTCCGTAAATATGATTTTCTCCAGTTGCCACCGACATTTAATGATCTCTATTCCTCCGTCGATATTTTGTTTATCAGAATGTTATTTTGTTAGGAAAATCTTGTGGCTAGTGGTCTTGTCTTTCATATCATAAAGTCATTCAGGGCTTACGTAAATAATTCAGTTTCATGAGCAGCCATCACTCGAACATTTATCGCCTCAGATTATCGGTCAACCGGCATTCTTTACTTTAATTTTGACAGTTAAAAATCCACTTATTAAATCTCAAAATTGTAATCCAACAATCAATGATCATCCGTGTCCTCCTTTTCAATTTATGAGCGCTACCGAGTAGTGAGTTAACTATCAACTAACGTCGGCTTAACTACATCCTTGTTCAGAACAAAATCTTCTGAATTTCCTTAGGACGTTGAGGCAATCACTAGTCATTTTGTCCCTTCAGATTTTAAGGTAGCGCTTCAATGACTGGTTTAGATGTAACTGGAAACTGACCTTAATAAGGATGGTAAATGCTTAAGCCATTTTTTTAAACCATGGTTTTTGTCTTTTATCTCGTTGAAAGGAAATTTTAATTACTAAGATGCTTTTTCGGTATCCTAAAACTTGCTCGTTCTGATTATTCTTTTAATATGCATTCGGTCCTAGTCCCTTTTCAGCCTTCATACTTTGTCAAACTTTGATAGAGTCATTACTGTCAGTATTGTCTGATAACGCGTATAAATTTTCCACGAGCCATTAATTTACGAGAATGTAATAAACACTCATGTATGCTTTATTAGCACTTCTGTTGTGAATTTACTCGTCTGATGCTTAAAGTATCTATCTGTTCTGTAAAATCCTGTAGCTGACACAAGCAATAAAATATTCATAATTTTTCACATAGAATTCCCTATACTTTCTTTTACTACTTTCTTTATTCTAGAGAAACCAACGTTTCTAGTCCGAATGAACCTGCTGGTACCATCGATAATGGTGATCAATCTTGTTTCATTTTAAAAAATGAGTAAGTGCTCAAAGTTTCGAAATCGGAGTTATTAGTTAGATTCTTAAACTAATTTTGAACCAAAATATTTTTAAATACTTAAAACACCCAGTTTATTTGCTTTTGTTGACTTTAAGCTTTTAGTTCTAAACTGTTTTACGAAATGTATAATAGTCTTCAATGAAACCTGTCGAATATCTATGTGGTAACTTTTGTCCCTAGTCTGCAGTGTTTAAGTGTCGAATTTTTCGTGTTGTGTATTTACTTAACAAAAGTACTTATCGTCCTGAGAAATTAAAAGTAAAAAATATTAAGTGAATATTTTTAAACCACTGAAAATATTTATGAACCATTCCCAATCAAACATTTGATGAAGTATCCGATATTTTATTTTAATTGTTTTAAACCTCATAAATGAGTTTTTTGGATAGTTGGAAGTGTTACATTTTTCCCAGTGAATATTCAACTAATTATTTCAGAATTTAAGAGAGTTGGGTTAAAAATATTCTTGTAGGTCAAAACATTGTTGTTTCGATATATTTCTTGCATTTTTGTAGTTGCGTTTTTGTTAGAGAAGTGGCTAGCTGCATGTAACAAAGTGTATGTTTTATTGCATCATCTATTTTATTTAACTTTCTTTTCAGATCTGAAATTCGAGCAGCTTTAAATGCTCAAACTGAAAGTCAGTTCCAATCTTATGCATCCCTTCATTATCCCACAGATGCAGTTAAGGTTTGTGATTTCCTTAATCATAATTTTAATGTTTAAATGGGAATTATCTGTCAATCATAATTTATACCGTATGAACCTAGTATTTTCTTGTTTCTGTTTCTTACAAGTTGAGAAAAAATATTTTTTTAGTAGAAGAAATAGAAAGTTATATGATTCCTTTGGGACGAAAAATTCAAGAAACTTTATTCTGTACAACTTTTTGGCAATTCTACGTGGTCTGTGAATCACTTTACAATGAAGATGTCAGTTTACGAACAAGGACAGGCCTTATACTAGATTAAAATCGTGCATCCAAATAGATGCAGCTCACAGTAGCCTTCTTCTGATATCTCTGCAAGCAACAGTCCTTCCGATTTTCATGGGATTACTATGTTTATGAATTAAATAAGTGTACGAGGAAAAAACGAATCCGTTATCACCAACGTGATTGAAAGCTTAGAAAATAAACTAGCAAACTTTACTTCAAAAATAAAATTATACCAACTGTCTCTACAATTGCAAGAATTTCTGATACTCTCTGTGATGATTGTTTGCTTATGTTATAATTTTCTGTTGATTTTGTAGTCTGAGAACAGTTGAAAGCTTACTTTCTCCTCTTTTATCTGTGGTGTCATGTTTATATATATCCTTATTTACTAAAATAGGAACTCTTGTGTCCCGTTTTGATTGTATCCTATGGAAATATTTCGTGTGTATTTTAAATCTGTTATATAGTACTATACGCTTAGATAATAAATCTACGATTCGATTCACAACAATTTCATACACACTTAGGAGTGCTTTGATTGATATTTGTTAAAAATATTCAGATATAGTTGCTGTGTTACTGGGAATACATTGATAACTGGCATATGTTTCGGCAACTCAATTTTACCTAAACAGGGAAATCTAGTTTTAGTGTTTGCTACATTAATATAATATGTCATAAATCCTTTGTGTATTGTAATGCCTTATACTTGAGTTTGTTCTCATTTGTCTAAAAACATCTAGTTACTAGTACTACTGATACTTTTCTGAAAATTATTCTTAGATGGTAATGTGTTAAATTTACTTCTTATGAGTTTTTTAAAATTTAATCTAATTGTTTCTCTGCCAGGTATTGTTTAACAGTTTTTGTTTAAATCTACCTTCATGTATATCAAGTTACCAGGACTAGCCTCTTGATTAAAGTATAAATATACATTGACGTGTATTCTGAATGTTATGAACGTTTACGGAAATTTACAATCTCACAACCATCGTAGTTATTGTACTTTGTGATCCAGATAATTTTTGGTTATTCATACCTCTAATTATGTTCTATTTTGTAAAGGCAAACTACTACGTTGATGGTACTTGTGGGGTTAGGTGGTTAAGTCGATGTTATAATTGGAGCTTCAAAGAACCTTTAAGTTAAAGGTTCGGGCGTCACTCCTTTGGATTGTATTACTACTAGCCAATATACAAAAAATGTGTTGTTCAAAGACAAATATGCGACACTTTACACATATTTGCTTACTGAAAACTAATAATTGAATGTAATAGTTGATTTCCTTGTCCTATGCTTTTTAGGAACGGAATTCTCAACACCAGTGTTTATTTTTGTTTCCAGTTCAGCTGTCGCTTGATCATATTTTCACTCATAGATTGTTTCTTGCAATACCTTACAGAGCTGTGGTATTTGAAGACATAAGAAATGACATATATTAAAGTGTTGTAGGATGAGGTTTAATTAATATCACTCGATAGTCTCACCAATAAGAATCTAGCTTATAATCCCCTATTCGGTCTATAGACCAACGTCTACGCTTTGATCAGTTACACATTTTGATGATAGTAATTAATCTGGAGTTGTGGTCCAGATAATCTAGACGCTTATTGGACCAGAAGTTCCCCTTTTTCTATACCCGAGTGTTGTGAACGAGGACACAGGTGGGGACAACCGATGTTCTTTAATACAAGATTACAGAATGTTTTGGTAAAATATGAAGACTATACATCGAATACTTCATTTGCGATTTTCCATCATTTTCCCTTCATATTCAGTATGATTCTTCACATTATCAATTCCTTTCTATTCTCTTCGACTTGATCTTCTTAGCCTTCTGCTGCCAGGGTTTTCACTACCGATTGGTGTTATATACTAATTATATCTGTCGACATAAGTAAAATATACCACACCAGTACTAAGTTCAGTAGAAGAATGCAGGAATTAGATAAGATCTACATTTTACAGTTGTTACTACGATTCGATCTCGTACAATAATATAGAGTAATTGCCTAACCGCGCATCAACATAAATGAGAAATTATAACACGAGCATAACTACATCATGAGTGAAAGTAAAGGTAAATAATAGTTCTGAAATTAATTAACAATTACTCAATGAAGGTAGAAAGTACAACGATAGTTTATGCGCCAAACAAAGTCTTACAATCAGGAAAATATTAGAAAACAACAATCCAAGTAATACTCAAAATATCAAAGAATATATAATGTTTAGCAATCAAATCTTTACTGTGCTTATCCAATCATATTCAGATATTGACTTAAGTAAGTAGGATAACATGAGCCAGTTATATGCGAATCATGTGAAAAGTTCACAGTGTAAAAGATAAATAGATGAATAAATTGTGTGTATGTACGTGTAAGTTTGAGTTATTAATAGTTGATATTCGGTGTTAATTTGTTTTTATATGAAGTAGAAATAAAAGTGCAAGTTGAAGTTTTTGAACCAAAACCATCAAGCACATAATTGTAATGCTAAAATATCCCAATTAATTTCTGTCAGAGTAATGATGCATGTGAAATGAACAGGTTGGAGAGATAGGGTTCAGATACTTGTCAATCAACATTTGCCATGTGGTAGCTAGTTGAATACCATCCTCCCTGTTCAGGCTGTTCTTACTAACCCATATACACAGCGCTTCTGCCGTCAATTTTTCTTCATGTGTGCCAAAACCTTTCCGAAATATTTTGATCCCTTCAGAATTGATCCTATGATCTATTTCTAACGCTATCTCCGACCTATTCTCAAGTTTCTTAAGATCAACCAAGAATTTGGAAAAATTTTTCACACATTATTTGTGTTCCTTTAACCTCACATTGAATTGTGTAGAAGTTTCTCCCACATAGGCTGCATTAAAATCATGACAATTGATCTCATAGACAGCATTCTGTTGTTCTTCCTTTGGAAAGATACCTTTAACTTTCACTAATACTGATCTTATGGCGTCACTAGCCCGAAAATATGCTTATGTTATATTTTTTTCAAATCCCCTTAATTTTTCTCGATGTTTCTCTACGGCATAGGATGGGCAATGTGATCTTTCGTTATATATCAATTTAGTTCTTTCGTTTCTAATAATCTTGAAAAACTTTTGTTAGCCCCAAGTGTAAACGAAATTCCATTCAATCCAACTTGTTAGTCTTCCTTCTCTGTAATGAGATTAATACTCCTGTTAATTGTTTCAAATATAATTTTCTTAGATAATGTCTTCTCTATACTCGGCGTCCGATCCATTAAAAGGTTTTACTGCTAAAAACTTTGTTTTACATTTTATTTATAAGAATCATTAATGATTTTATTTATGAGGTTTAGTCATTATTTTGGGTAAACATACCCATTATATTTACACCTTTCATTTTTATTGTAATATACAGAGAGCTGAACTTATTGCACAGTTGCAAGATCGGCATTTTCACGAATATATGGCATACATACAACGTCAATATCGCTTTATTCAGCGATCACAGGTTGAATCTTCCTCTCAGACAACCGCTATGTCGACAATGAATGATTCAGTTGAAGATTATCCAGTCACTAATGTAAAGTCAATGGACGGTGTAAATCGTTCAGAAACAGTCTCTTCCAATGTAAGTTGTATTGGTGTTCACTAGTCTACTTTCTTTAATAATAGAACAAATTAGAAGAAAGCATATATACGATAGAATAAATGGGTTTATAACAGTTATGAAAATACCAACCACAACAACTTAAGTTCGTCAAGAAGAAAATTTTCTCCAGAGTTGTTTTTATTTCTTCAAGTTAAGAAGCGCGTGTATGTGTATGTGCTGTTACCATCGATTTTTGAGTCACTTTTATTAAAAACTTTAGTTTCTAGTATGTTTACGAGATTTCAACCTGTAAACTCATACTTAGTCATACCGTCTGAAGTTAATTAAGTTGAAATTATTTTAGTACAACTCAGTAATCATATACAGGTTTCTATATTCGGTATCGAGCTACACCTTTTACATGGTAGCTTGGGTAACTGGGATTATTCAGAGCTAAGTTGTTTGGGTTGTGTTTAAGCCTGGGACTCAAATGGTCAGAAACGGAGTGAATCCTTCACTATTATTCAGTTACTATCTGAACTTTGTTTCTGATCTATCCAGCGTAAAGTTCTAAGTTTTCGTACATGTCTCTTCAATTCATTAAATATTCCCATTGAGATATTGAAAGGATAAATTGCCCAGTTCCTGTGCCTCAATGTGTATTTATAATTTCAACTGCTATTGCGGAACTAGTTATATTGGGCGCACAACTTGACAAATGCATTATCGTATTTCTGAACATCACCCTTCATGATTAACCAAAGGACAAAATAAAGTAATAAGCTGTCCTTACGCGTCCAGTTGATACTAGTTACCACGTAGATAAAACTTCAGCGTCTAAAGTTATTTATAAGTCCCACCGAATTCATTGTATGGTTTTAGAATCCGATTCTAAAATATGTCAGAAGTCACAGAAATACACAAAAAAGCCTAACCTATCTCTTCAATTTGTTATTACTAGTCGCAATGGGGATTACATAGATATTGATATTTTAGTCGATCCATGTTCAAAAATTTACTTATTGTGCTGATTACGTTGAGTCCCGTATAAATAATGCACATAGGTAATAGTGAAGTGATATCTTTGACCGGCTACTATCTCAGTCCAACAGTTAAAACTAAACCACCGTTCTTATGGGTCTCGGTTTATATCGATATCTTATTCAGGTTGCTTGATAATAGGTGGCGATTTGAACCTAGCTGGAGGCTAATTACACTGTTCCTCGGTGTCCCATTCATCACTCTATACATCTTGACTGAGAGTCGATCATGTTCTCATTTTTTACGGATATGGTTTCGCTAAAGTCTATTTTTTAATACTCGTTTATCTTAGAAGCCTAAAAATTAATTTTTACCTATCACTGCTGTCTTTTCCATTTCTTTTACATTTGCCACTGCTATTCATGATGAATGCTTTCGCTCTTCATTGTGTTTGAAGTCTAATGGGCTGAGTTTCTTGGTGTCTCTCAGTTCAGTAGGTGCCACTGAAATCTATTAGTCTTTCTTAAATTTTGACTTAATTCACTTATGGATATCACCGTTGGATTTTTACCTACTCAATCAGTGCTGCGCGAAGCTAATTTTCCTTTTAAATATGTCGTAAATCCGTCACAATACTTCCAAATCTCCGTCTCAAAGCCATGTGCAGAAGTTGGATATGGTCCCGTGAAACTCGCTCCGTTAATGGCTGGTTATATAGACATCTTAATCTCTTCCCTAAATATCTATACTTATTCCCAGTGTATCATTGTACGTCAGATTTTCAATTAACTTTGCAAGCATTCTGAGTCTTTAGTTGTTAGTTTTGTGGGTTAGCGAATCAGTGAGTATATTCTGAAATTGCGATACTCTTTTTGTTGGAAGTTTGTGTAACATACCTGTAGTGTCGTACATGTTAGTCATTTGATATTTTATGTTTGTCATAACAACTTTCTTCTGCATTTGATTTTATTTACTTCGAATGTACAGTTTACGGTTTACAGTTATTATCAAGGCAAATTGCTTATAAGCTTACTACTGTTAGGTTCTGTTTTCTTAGTGACTAATAATTAACTTAATTTTGTAAGGTGTAGTTTCAGTCAGACCGTTTTAAAATTAAACTTTGACATGATCTAATGATTTCAGTTGCTGAAAACTTAATGAGAAGAACATCATATTGCACAAATTTGTGAAGTGTGAAAGAAGAATGTCGTTTGGTTATGGTATTATAATTTAAATATCCCATGTACTTGTCAATTATTTTGCATTATGTTGGTAAAAACCAGTCGAAATCAACATGATTCATGAATAACAGGTGGGATACAAATAACTTATCGAGATTCTGTATATTGTATATGGTTGGTTGCCGTCGTATGCTTATTATAGTTCCTTTTTACACTTAAGTAATAGATCTTGTTTCCAACTCTTTCGTCATCATATTGATTGGGATTGTTGGAAATTTTTTCCTTCAGATCTACGCACACTTATATAAACGTTTATGTATATTTGTATTCCTTTAATATCAAGGAGGATTATATCAACGATCAATCTGTTCTCAACGGCACAGTGCAGTTAGAACCGTCTTTACATTCCCCTGAGATTCAAAAAGAAAACTCAGTACCCGCTGATGTTTCTGTTAACAACCTGTCTTGTACAGATACTTCAGGTTCGTCTTTTTTTTGAATATATTGATAAATTTCATCGTGAGTAAATTTATAATTACAGATCAGATAACTCTTTAGCCATGCTACGAACACAATCTTATTCCACTGACTCATGTCTTCTATTGGCTATTCATTTTTTTCGTATTGTCCGCGTTTTTAACTTCTATTGTAAGTATTGCGCTAAAATTATTTGGAGGATATTAAGCCTGCGTTAAAGTAACATGTATACATGTAGTGGTTTGGCTTCAAGATAATTCCTTGGGCTTCGTATATTAATCATCCTGATAACCGTTATTAAAGATATCCCAATGGTGTATTAATTCAGAAGGCAACGTGAAGCGCCGACTACAATGTATTATTGAATAGCACAGGTCACAAATCTACAAGTGTACACCAAGCGAATTTGAGCAGAAAAGCTAGCGAATACAGAGTCGAATCAATTAATGAGATTCAAGCGCATAAATATGGGAAAGCGAATGATTTGTCGAGCGATATTCAGGCAACTAACATTTAAGCTAGAGAGGGATATGTGCGTACTCTTTCACATGTGATCAAGCATACATGTTTATACAGACATGATAATAATAATAATAATAATAATAATAATAATAATAATAATAATGCAAATACGTAGACAAATTGTTACCGATCGGATAACACTGTTCGTTAAATAAGTTAATTGAGAAGTTTGGCAAAATCAACCTTAGAAAAACTTAACTGTACGAGAGGTGCTATATACGCCTCAAAAGTCAAATACATTCAGTGATATTTGTTTTAAGTTAAATCTAAAAAGAAGCACACCCCGAGGGCAATACGAAATATGGGCAGAGATGAATATCCGGGCAATCCGCCTAGGATGCACATATGCCAATAAAAGACTGATCAATTGCAGTCTTAAACACCAATGGGAAGATCTAAACAAACAATACAAAATGTGGTACTTTAGGCAGGAATACAGCTATGTTAGTCAACGTATAGAACTTAGTATAAATCACGTCGACATTCCAAGAGAGTAATTTAATAAAATACAAAACAAAGAAGTTAACATTATAGTAGTACTAACGAAAGGAACTAAACGTGCAGAATATACGTCAAAAATAACAAGTTGAAGAATATGAAGTATAAGTACGAGAACCTCGGATTTTCCCGACCGTTGTTGCTACCTTGACGTGGTGGTCGGGCTTGCCTATCGTGATGAAGCAACCGAGCTATACTGGCTGGAACAACCGTTCCTCAAGGTCCTACCATGTCAGACAGGTCGGTTGAAGAGCGGTAAGACTAAAAGCAACAAACCCAAGGTCCGAAGGCGAAGTCGTACTGCTGACTGTACAGAGGTGTGACAGCAGTAAGGTGTTTCCTTCAGACAACCAGCATGACAGCGATGCTGCCTTCCCACAAGGAGGGGTGGGGTTAGAAAAGGTCGACCCTAAAAATGCACACCTTACCTCACGGATTTCCGTCTCCGGCGGTAAGGCCCTTTGAAGAACGGAGCTAACACGTCAAAACCTCCACGAAAAGGCCGTGCGCGACCGGCCTCAAGCAGTTGTCCCTTGGGCACTGCGGTCACGCTCTCAGGTCACTGAGACCACCTCTAATCCAATTTCCTTTTCAGGTACCTCCAGAAGAACCCTTCCTCGGTGTGGGCAACCGGGAAGTGATAACCGCCCTCATACCTCTAACAGCACTCGGGACCACTGTATTCATAATCAACCTTCCTCTTCAATTCCTATTATTCCTCCTACATCGACTTTCAACTCTAAACTTCCTCTTTCGGCTTCCTCCTCAAGTGTCACCATAGCCAACGATTCTAGTGCTCAAAACTCTGTCCCAGGTCTACTGAAACCTCGCTCCAAACTACACATTGGAGCCTTCAACGTACGCACCCTATGTCAAATCGGTCAGCAGGCTTCCTTGGCTAAAACCCTAGAGTCTCTTTCCATTGATGTATGCTGTGTCTCCGAAACACGCATACAGGATTCCAGTGTGGTCATTCACTTGACCTCACCTCGGCAAAACGGAGAGCCAACGAGATACACCCTCCGTGTATCTGGTGACCCGATGGCCAGTTCTCGTGGACTGGCAGGTGTAGGCATAGCACTAAGCATGAGGGCGGAACAAGCACTGCTAGAGTGGATCCCCGTCAACAGTCGTCTATGTGCTGTTCGGCTAAACGGCTCCGTAAGAACTCGGAAGGATAGGGACACACGTCGTTGCCTTTTCGTCGTTTCTGCCTACGCTCCCACTGACTGCAGCTCAGATGAAATGAAAGATGAATTTTACAGAAAGCTGTCCGAACTTCTTCAGAAAGCTAAACGCTCAGACATAGTACTCGTAGGGGTGACTTTAATGCTCAGATAGGTAGCTTAAACCAAACAGAAAGGCATTTAGGTGGATATTTTAGCATTCCGGCACAGCGAACAGATAATGGTGATCGTCTGCTGCAACTGTGCTCAGACAATCGCTTATTTTTAGCAAACACAAATTTTAAGCATAAGGAGAGACATCGTCTAACATGGCGACCCCCTACACCAAACCAACGATGGACTCAAATAGACCATATTGCCATCAGTCATCGTTGGAGAGGGTCGGTAGAAGATTGTCGCTCATTCTGGAGTACCTGCTTGGACTCCGACCATGCCCTAATACGGGCACGCATCTGCTTGCGCCTCACTGGACGCAAAAAAGCCACATTAAAAAGACCCATTAGAACTGAGTTGAGCAACGAGAAAACCAAAAGTAGGTTCCAGGAACAACTGAGGTCACACTTAGGTAGTTCTGAAGACGAGGCTGACCCAGATGTTGCTTGGAAAGATACAAGCAGCTGTGGAAACAGCAGTGACATCTATTAGCGACTTAAACCACAGAGTTACAAAGAACCAGTGGATTTCTTCAAAGTCTATCACACTGATGGATTCTCGCAAACTCGTCCCATCAGGTTCCGAACATGATGAAGAGCGACAACAAATCAGATCTAGGTTAAGAAAAAGTCTAAGAAACGACCGTGAGCAGTGGTGGGCAACGAAAGCAAAAGAGATGGAAAAGGCGGCGACTATAGGGAACACAAGACAGCTTTACAGACTAATAAAAGAAACTGGAATTAATAAGTCAAGTGTAAGTGAGATTATTTCGGAAAAAGACGATACCCTCATCTGCTCCCAGTCCAGACGTTTAGAACGATGGGCGGAACATTTCAGAGAACAGTTCAGCTGGCCTTCAGCTACTCTACAACTACCCTCCATTCCCAGACAGTGTGAATGGAACATTGAAGTAGGTCCCCCAACTCTTGCTGAAGTTCAAAAGGCTATAGTTAATCTGAAACGAGGAAGGGCAGCTGGTCCAGATGGACTGGCTCCAGAGGTCTTTAAGGATGGTGGTCCAATTTTAGCGATTAGGTTGACTAATATTTTAGCTAAGATCTGGGAATTAGACGTTATCCCATCTGACTGGTCACAATCACTTATCGTCCCAATATATAAGAAAGGGTCAAAATCATCCTGTGACAACCACAGAGGGATTAGTTTAACAAATATAGTATCTAAAATACTAGCCTCGATAATTATCAGACGCCTAACTAAGACTCGTGAACTGCAAACACGAGAGAACCAAGCTGGCTTCAGACCTGGTCGTGGCTGCATCGACCACATATTCACCATTCGTCAGGTTCTAGAACACAGGCATACTTATCGGCGTCCGACAATGGTGGTCTTTCTTGACTTAAAAGCAGCATTTGACTCTGTAGACCGCGAGATTCTGTGGCAGTGTCTGTCATTGAAAGGCGTACCTCAGAAGTACATAAACCTTGTGAAGGCTCTTTACTCGAACACTACTAGTCGAGTCAGAGCTTATGGCGAACTGTCATCTACTTTTGCAACCTCAAGTGGTGTCCGTCAAGGCTGTCCACTTTCCCATTTTTGTTTAACTTCATCATAGACCTATTGATGGAAATAACATTCTCGTCGACTGAATTCTCGGGTATTGATCTCCATCCAGGAGGTCCACTTATCGACTTAGAATACGCAGATGACATAGTCCTGTTTGGTGAAGACGCTGACAAAATGCAGAGTCTTTTGGTAGCACTAAGCAACAATGCCAGAATGTTTGGAATGCGCTTCTCTCCCTCTAAATGCAAGTTGTTGCTTCAGGACTGGTCTGCGTCAACACCTGAACTAAGGATAGGGAGTGAAGTAGTCGAACGCGTTGACAACTTCACTTATCTTGGAAGTCTGATCAGCCCTAATGGGTTGGTGTCTGACGAAATCTCAGCACGGATTCGAAAAGCTCGTTTGGCTTTTGCCAACTTACGTCACCTTGGCGAAGGCGAGATATCCGTCTATCAATAAAAGGACGAGTATACTGCGCGGCAGTCCGTTCTGTTTTACTTTACGGCAGCGAAACATGGCCATTAAGAGTAGAAGACACTCGTAAGCTACTAGTATTTGACCACAGATGCCTTAGAAATATTGCTGGCGTCTGCTGGGATCACCGGGTAAGTAATAGTGAGGTTAGACGCAGGGTATTAGGGAATGATGGTAAATCAGTTGATGAGGTTATGAATCTTCATCGACTGAGATGGTTGGGCCACGTGTTACGTATGCCTGAACACCGATTACCACGACGTGCAATGCTATCCGGTATTGGAGGTGGTTGGAAGAAAGTTAGGGGCGGCCAAACCAAAACGTGGCATCAGTGCTTGAAGTCACTAACTTCTAGTCTGAGCCATGTTGGTAGATGCAGACTACTTGGTTGGGGTCCGCGTGACTTCGTAACCAATGGTTGGAGACTCTTGGTGACATGGCTCAGAATCGATCACAATGGCGTCGGTGTATACACTCCCTGTCTTCCCTTAAACTAAGAGATTAAAATCACTTCATATCTTTCTTTCTACGAACCAATTCTTTCTTGTACTATATTTCTATATGCAATCTTCCTCTTATTTATTACCACCTTTGACCTAACCACTGCTATGAATCCGGTGTTCATCTTGTTGTGCTGATGCGGTATGGCAACCTGGACCGATGCACATATGTGCCTGGTCCTACGTTGTAGCTGACTGACTGACCTCGGATTTAGAAGAATGAATTCATCTGGGTCATTAAGACCAGTTCTGAATCATGTTGCAAAATGTAGTTCAAATAAAAGAACATTTAGTTATAAACTCTCATTCGCTTGTGTATATCTATATTGAACGTGCTGATGGGCTGCTTGGTCAACTAGTGAAATCTGTCTTGCAAACAGGTTTTTTCCCAAAAAGAAGAAATATTGCATACCCGTGAACCATGAGGCTTGTCAGTATTCAGTTGGGATTATTTTCATTGGTCATGAAATGATATTTCAAGCATTAAAATATAGTTGAAGTGGTTGGAAAAATTATTACATAGGGATATATTTAAGGCAAGCCAAATCACTGTTTATATCACGCTTCAAGTAATTTAAGTACACAATTCTTCAAGTCACACTTCCGCTTTTGGTCAGAATCAGTAAATAATATCTCATATAAGGGAGATACATCGGTTTCTGACCTTAACAGGATTTTATTTCAAATGATCATCATTCCCTTTTATCATATTATATGACTTAATAGGATTACTCATTTTCTGGTATCACACTCAATGAGGCAGATTAGATCCCTATTTTAGGCGTGTATAAAACATGTATACGGTTAAGGATTGACAGGATTCATCAGGCTTTACTCTAATGTACAGTAATATTTATATGCATATATGAAATTATTAGACCGATCAAGGTAGTTAATTTACAATATGGGAATATTTCAAAAGTTGTTTAATTATCATGAACCATTAAGGTGTCCTTTTATCTGAGTATGGTTTATTTCTTGCTTAGGAATATTTTTTGTAAAGCTCCTAACTGAAAATGTACGATTCATATTATGACGAGTTTCCATCCATAGCGGTGATTGTCCGTTTTGAGTGAGTAGGCAATGTTTACCTCAAAAACGTATTTCGTCCCATTAGTTTCTCAAATTAAATGATCAGTTAGTGGTTATTCTGAATCGTCTATTACACTGTGCTTGTATGTCATCAAGGCGAGCGAAAATTATTTTTCACCCAACATGGTTGGTTTTATGTTCATATTGTCGATTTTATTCCATTTGAGATGATTTATTTCATTTTTATACCTCATTTTTTGTTTATATCTATTAAATAAATTCTTTTTAATATGTATATCCTTGTTAGATCTGTCAACTCGTGATTCAGATAAGAAATGCCTTGACACTGATCCTTACCTAAATGCATCTTTGGTGGTACATGCCCCTACATTATGGACTCGTGGGAAGTTAAAGAATTTAAACAGTGTTTAACTGAAGATGAAGAGTCTGTTATTCGAATAAACAGCGGTGAAGTTTATTCAGTAAGCTGTAATAATATTGAAAACATTGGGAATTTTTAAGATATGTTATGTATCACAAGGTAGAACGTGTTAAACTTGATTTTTTAAAAATTGTAACACTATCAACACAGCGGGGTGGAATTATCAAGACATACCACCATATTAGTGACTCTGTCAGTGGTAGTAGTAGAGATTAGGTATAGACAATATGATTCGACGAAGGATGAACTCACGGAATAAGTATTATATGGTAATTTGGAGACTCAAATTTTGAGAGAAGATAGAGAATGAACGTGTATATGCGACATTGTGACAAGGTCTAAGCCATGTCACTCAACGTTTCTAACCATTGGCCGCAATAATCATGAGGATTCAAACCAGGTAGTTTGCATCTACCATCATACATATATCGTTAATCTTATTGAATTACATCTTCACTGTGGGCCGTTGCAATTGAAATATTGAGTTCTCATCAGGGTAAAACAGTAGTATACTGTTGTTTAGTTCTCTTCAATAGTTCTTCAGGTGGAATAACTTTGAAGTATTATTCTGGAAATTCCTTGTTGATAAATTTATCTGAGCACCGGTCTACTGAAAAAAGGTACACTGGAAGAAAATCACTGACCACTCAGTCAGATTTTACAAATATGGTTTTGGCCAGGCTGTCTGATTAAATATTCGTTTGAAGATTATGAAGGCACTATCTTAGCGTTTTAGAAAATGGCTTACTGAATAAGTATGGATTACGAAGCTGATAAAACAGTCTATACAAACAATCGTGCCCTATCATAATCATTGCACTGAGTCTTCAAACAGCAGAATTATTAACTTCCAACACTAACTTAACGATGGATGCAAGTAAATTGGTTTGTTCGTAGTTGTTGTTAAAGTGGATTTGCACCAGATTATAAACCCTTTGGAGATGCATATTTGGGATGTACTCATGAATTGCTTCACATTCATATATATTGTTTGAATAACCCCTAAAAGGTAACTGAGAATACCCCTCATTTCTTAGCTAGGAGATGAGAACATTCTGTGTACAGTTAGAGATAATCGAATGGATAACCACAAAAGTATTAGGACTGGACTTAGTTGATTTTCATCAAATATAGTAAGTAGATCCTAGTTTGTACCTACTTATTCTGTTTGCCTTCAGAATTCACTTTTTCGTTCATTTAAAAGTCCTTCAATCTCCTTTAGCTTTCACGTTTTGTTAAATTTTGACTATCGCGTTATTTGAAGTGGTGTATTTTTCACAGAGTTTGGGGTGCATAGTGTACTTGGCAGCGATTAGCATTAAAATGGATCATTGACTGCTCATCATGTTGGTAGGTGCAGACTACCTGGTTGGGGTCTGAGCGATAAACGCGATCAGTGGCTGAGGATTGGGTGAAATTGCTGAACATTCACAATGGAACAGATGCACTCACTCTTCATCTTTCCCTGTATTTTAGATTCCAGTATTCCTTCGCATATACATTTTTACTTTGTGTTTTCATGTCCTCAATCTTTTTTATGGTCACTGTTACTGCATTATTCCGACCTATTTTATCATGCGTGTTAATTTCACATCGTCACGCTAATCTGGTGGACTAACTTAGACCAGAGCACATCTGTCAGACTACGTTGATGAAGTAAGCCGATAGTGAAGCATATGCTTCGAGGTTTTATGCTAAATTTGTGTAATAGTTCATCTTACAGATACTCTAGGCGTTTGCATTTTTGAAAAACATTAATCCAGGTTCGTGTTCAAACACACCCATCGGGCACGAGTATAGTCTGGGAGTTCGCTACAGATGACTACGACATTGGATTCGGTTTGTTTTTTGAATGGGCGGGACCGCTTTCTGATCCTGAAGCGAAACAAAACAATCATATTGCATCAGTCAATGCCGAAGGTAAGTGTTGAAAGGGGTAACATGAACAACACTATCAATAAACCTGTCGATTGACTGAATCTTAATTATTAACACTGTCTGTCTTCTTCAAAATACCATCAAAAGACAAAATCAATATTCGTTAATTCATTATTAATTTAAATATCACTCAGGCCTACCCGGCATATATATGTGCATGGATTCAAGTTGTCACATGTACGCATCCTCATCACAGTGGACCAAGACCCACTATTTCACGAGTCGACTTGCCATCCTTACCTAGCACTTTGTGTCTAACTCAAGTGTTGCTTACTCAGCAATCCCAACGTATACAAGTAATGCTTCAAACTTGCAACCTACAGATATCCTTTATTCTTAATAGCTATATTTTATATCCGTAGAGCCGAACAAAGTGAACTGCTAAACAGTAAACTCGCCCTCTGGTTGGGAGACGACTATCTCACCTACTCCAAAAGTGATGTGAATTTGTAAAAGCTGAGCTATCTAAATCCATTCTGAAATTTCATCGGATACCAATCCTCCAGGGTCGATGAGACTTCCAAGATAAGTGTAGTGGTTGACGCACTGAACTACTTCACTTTCTGTCGGATACATGAAACAATTATGAATTTAACGTTGGTAGTAAAGATGCTCATTGGTAATTTGACTTGAGAATTATTCCAAAACCCTTCAATTGTTTAGTCATGTGATTCGCTTAAACAGTAAAACGATTTAGATACAAGAAGAAACTGGAATGATGTTTTAATTTTTTCCAGATGGTCACTCAGTAGTAACCAAGGCAGAAAACCCGGAAAAGTCTAATATCTTAGTTGATGAGATCATACCTATTTCACGACAGAACTCTCAAAACGAAGTGTGCTGTGGATCTCATTTGTATCCAGGTGCGGGGACATATGTTTTCAAATTCGATAACTCCTTCTCCTTATGGAGGTCGAAAACCCTCTATTATCGCGTTTGCTACACATACTAGAGTGTTCATTCTTCAAGGTGGAAAGTCTATGCAGTTTGTCAAAAATTTGGCTGTGCACCATAATTTCCTAACTTTTTTCTGTACTTCTACTTTCTTTATAAGTTCAATAAAAATGGTTCAAAGTGCCTTTTTATAATAACTAGTGTCAACATTGCACAGTAAACATCATTTGGAAAAATGAGTTTTTTTTACTGGGTTTAGAAATTTTTATGATATATTAGTGGTCGGTCTCATGAAATCTGAAATTCAAGTTGGTCTTTTTAATTGCTGCAATTCGTTTCTGGAAGTTATGTTTACGCCTTCGGACAGCTTGGGGTAATGATTTTCTTACTGAACTATTGGTAAAATCCATTCCTTTGCGGGCGTTTAGGGCTGTAACACGCTTTATTGTTGCTATGGTTTGGTTTTCTTCATGTGATGCACGAGTTGAATTTCGTAGGTATCTGCTTGTTCGAAATAGTCGCTTATTGTCTGCTAAGACTTCACCTATTCATAAAAATAAACGAATTAAGAAGTTCATGTTACAATGATGTATGAGGAAAGTTTATCCATAGTAAAATAACTTGTTTTTGCGTCTGGCATAAATATGGCTACGTTTCTGTACCTTAGTAAAGACTTTGAGTACTGAGTAGTGTTGCTATCAATGATACAATAGATGCGACTCACATTCCATATGTAGACCTTCATTGTGTTGTAGTAAATTAAGATATGTATAGAATTACACATCCCAGACTGACTTTGTTTAGGCACCTATCCATCATTGTTGAGGTCGTTGATGCACGTTTGAGTCATATACTAGGATGGAGTAGGTGTTCAGTATTCCGTATTAATGGCTCTATAAAAAAGTCATTACGTAATATGAAACAATGCGACAATTTCCATATAATGGAATGCTTTCATTTTGGTTTATCACTGCTTGAAAACAGATCAGCAGTAACACAGTTTCTACATGGTAGCCTTCCATAGTACAGTAGCAACACAGATTAGTACTGCTGATAGCAGCTAACACAACAAACTTTTGTAGTATGTTTATCCATCAAGTTATAAGATATGTGACGGGATGTACTATTTAAACTAGCAGGATTTGGTCCCTTCCCCGAGACGTCGCATTTACGAACGATATATAGTCTGGTAGTATACTAGCAGAATTTTTATCCTACAACAAGTGAACCTCCCGGTAGAAGTTCAACCCCTGTAAATTTAGATGAGGAGAGTGTTATCTCTAAAAGTACATCAATGACAAAGTTGAACAAGAATGGGGAGAGTGGACAGCCCTGACGAACACCACTTGAGGAAATCAATTCTGATGACAGTTCGCCATAAGCTCTCACTCGACCAGTTGTGCTCGAGTAGAGAGCCTGTATAAGGTTAATGTATTTCTTTGGTACTCCTTTTAGTGACAAACACTGCCACAGAACCTTACGATCAACAGAGTCAAATGCCGCCTTAAGGTCGAGAAATACTACCATTGTGGGGCATCTGAACGTGTGTCTGTGTTCTAGAACCTGACGTAGTGTGAATATCTGATCTATACAACCACGTCAGGTCGAAAACCAGCCTGATTTTTCTCTAGTCTGCTCTTCACGAGCTTTGGTTAGGCGTCGAAGTATTATTGAAGCTAATATTTTAGACACTATATGTCCATCTTTCTCTGAGATTGTTTCGCTAACAGTCGGTTCCCTTAACAAGTCTGAACAATTGTCTGCTATTACCTATTGCCGCTGCCTTTTCCATCTCTCTTGCTTTCGCTACCCACCACTGTTCACGATCATTGCGTAGACTTCTTGTCAGCTTGCGCTTAAGCTGACTCCGCTCTTCATTATGTTCAGAGCCAGGTGGAATGAGTTTCCGAGCATCTATCAGTGCGATAGATGCTGCTGAGATCCAGTGTTGCTCCCTAACCTTACGGTTTACCTTACTAGCAGATATCACTGCTGTTTCCACAGCTTTTCGGATATCATTCCATGCTGCCTCGGGGTGGGCATCACATACATGGCTGCCTAACTGTTTTCCTAGTTGTTCCTGAAATATACTCTTAGCTTGACTATCATTAAAGTAGGCCCTAAGAGGTTTCCTTGCAGCGTCTTTCCTACGTCCAGTAAGACGCAGACAGATACGCGCTCGTACTAGAGCATGATCTGAATCTAAGCATGTGCTCCAGAATGAGCGACAGTCTTCTATCGAGCCCCTCCATCGGTGGCTGATAGCGATGTGATCTATTTGGGTCCAACGTTGGGACGAATTAGGGGGTCGCCATGTTAAAAGATGTTTTTCCTTATGCTTAAAGTTAGTATTTGCAAGAAACAGGCGGTTATCTGAGCATAGCTGCAACAGACGGTCGCCATTATCTGTTCTTTGAGCCACGAGCCATAAGATCCACCTAGGTGTCTTTCCCTATCGCTTAGTTTACCTACTTGAGCATTAAAGTCACCGGCCATTATTACTACATCCGAGCGCCTAGCTTTTCGGAGAAGGTCGGAGAGCTTTCTGTAAAACTCATCTTTTACATCATCTGAGCTGCAGTCAGTGGGAGAATAGGCAGAGACGACGAAGAGGCAACGACGAGTGTCCCTATCTTTCCGGATTCTTACTGTTCCGTTCAGTCGGACAGCGCACAAACGACTGTCTACTGGGATCCACTCTAAGAGAGCTAGTTCTGCCCTAGGACTCAATGCTATACCTACGCCGGCGAGGCCACGGGAAGCAGAATCAGGGCTTCCAGATACACGAAGTATGAATCGAGTCGGTTCTTTATTTTGGCATGGTGAGGTCAAATGAATGACGCTACTCGGATCCTGTATGCGCGTTTCGGAGACGCAGCACACATCGATGGCGCGGGATTCTAAAGTCTTAGCTAAGGAAGCCTGCTGTCCTATTTGGCACAGTGTTCGTACGTTAAAAGCTCCTACGTGTAGTTTAGAGCGTGGTTTCAGGAGACCAGGAATAGCGTTCCGCGTACTCGAATCGTTTGCCCTAGCGGTGCGAGGTGATAAAGAGACGTGAGGAGGGTTAGTCATGGAGATAAGAGAGGTATTAGGAGGTGTAGGAAGGATTTGAATGTGACCAACTTGGTCTCGTGTACTGTTACGGGTATGAGGGCTGATATCACTTCCCGGCTGCCCACACCGTGGAAGGGTATTTCTTGAGGAACCTGAAAAGGAAATTGGATTAGTGTTGGTCTTAACGACCTGGGAGCGTGACCGCAGAGCCCAAGGGACAACTGCTTGAGGCCGGTCGCGCACGGCCTTTTCGTGGAAGGTTTTTAATGTGTTAGCTCCGTTCTTCAAAGGGCCTTACCGCCGGAGACGGAAATCCGTGAGGTAAGGTGTGTATTTTTAGGGTCGACCTTTTCTAACCCCACCCCTCCTTGTGGGAAGGCAGCATCGCTGAGATGCTGGTTGTCTGGAGGAAACACCTTACTGCTGTCACACCCCTCTACAGTCAGCAGTACGACTTCGCCCTCAGACCTTGAGTTGCTGCTTTTAGTCTTACCGTTCTCCAATCGACCTGCCTGGCATGGTAGAACCTACAGGAACATATGTTCCAGCCAATATAGCTCGGTTGGGTCATCACGATAGGCAAGCCCGACCACCGCGTCAAGGTAGCAGCTTCGGTCGGGAGTTAGTCAGACAACGTAGAAACTGGCACATGTGCATATCGGTTTAAATTCTTATACCTCACGAGCACAGCAAAATAAAATTGTCAAGACAAAGCCTAAAGTAGTAGAGGTGGTAGGGGATTAAACAAAAAGGTAAGGCAACCAGAATACAATTCGAGAGAAATAGTTGCGTTTATAGTTAGACGACTTATTATCTCGAGAGGCCTGTACGTTTACAACTTCAAGCCTTTCACGGCTAGACATGACACAGACTATACTTTGGTACACTAGCAAGTTAATATGTAGCGACGTTCTAAAGGATATTAATTACTGAAACGGTTGAAGGAAAATTCACCTTAGATTTTTTACTTAGTGGGATCTGAACTTGTGGCTGGAATAGTGGTGATGGTTGAATCTAGCGACCCAGGTTGCAATAAAACTGTCAAAAAACGTTCTTTGGGTGTCTGTTTCATGAATCAGTGAACGCTATCGTAGCAGGCAGTGTAGGCTGGGGTATAGCCCAACACGGTCGATACAAAACTCAGAAGACAGTGATTCGAACACTCGGTCACTACTTGGTTGTCAATCTAAGCACGAAACTTGACTCTTGATTATATCTTACAAATGGGAATTAATGAGGTACATAGTTTGCTACCCTAATTATTTGCTTAAGTACACTGAATGATTGGTCACCTTAAAGTAACAGGTTTATGTTGTCTGTGTGCTTTTGGTAGGTAAGTGTCAAACCTAAAACTTGTAGTTGAACATAATTTCGTCAAAGTATAACAAATTCAGATGGAACTGGTACTGGTATACAGGCTGTAGTAAGATTACCGTAGCCATAATCCATTATTTGAGGGTATCGCTCATGATATGGTTAAAACTCAAGCAAAGTGCACTCTTCAGTGTAATACGAATATGTCAATGCAACAAGAAAGATTGAAACTTCCCATTACGAGTCACTGGTATAGCAAGCAGACAAGCATTCAAGCAGCAAAACTTTGACAGATTATATGGGATTTTTTTCGTGATGGAAACCCTAATTCTGATACCAACCTTGACCATCAGCTATAAATTACACCTCTGATTCCTCACAATAGTTTACAACGGTCATTTGATCCTAGTCACTAAATGGACATTCTCAGGGTCACACTAATATCGATTGGAGGTCGTCCATAAATGATAGTCACACCCAATTTTGTCTTGAAGTATGGAGCCCAGGAAACGCTGATCTATGGGAAGCCACGTGAAGTGTGTTTTTGACATCTTTAGTTGTAACCACAAATTGAGCTTCGTTTGGCGCAGATAGATCATGATACTACCAGGAAAATAACTCATATATAAGGACCACTACAGAAACTGGATACCTTATAAGACACTTTATATATACGGTATTTTATTAGACCTAAATATGGGGATGACTTACATTTTATTATTTTATTGAATTGCAGCAAGTTGTTTAACGTTGAGGCTACGAGTGGAGCAGCCTCATTAGACATTCGAACGAAAGCACTGTCTTTCCACTTACCAGTCTATTCAAATGTTTGATAGCAACAGGGAAACGAACCTTTTTAGACTTTGGTATATAGAGTTCATGAACTTTTCCGAATTGCTCAATGTATTTTCGCAATTCAGATGGTCCAAAATATTTGGGTAAGCGAGTAATGTGCAGAACAACAAGATTATTTGTCATGCTTCTATGATGTAACGCAATATCCCGTCCTCGCGCTTCAATCTTCAGCGTACAGTCTTCACGAATGAGGATGGTGGATTGGTGGACCTATGTTAAACGTTGCAGCCTGTTTTCTAGTAAGGGTTCAGTTTCTCCCTCAAAACTTTCACTGATGCAGCGGAGACCAATTGTTTTGATAAGACAGTTTAGTGATTAATTGCTCTATGAGAAAGACGAAAACGCCGTCTAAGTTTACGAGATGGTGGTTTTTGAACCTTTATTTCTATTGCCTCTAAGATGATTAGTTCTGAAGAGTGGAAGAAGGCCAGTCATTTTGACACCCAAATCGTTACTAAAGATACGGAAAACCAATATAAGGTCACTTCACGTTCTATGTTTCGATAAGGAGAAAAGGTTGGGTTATTTAAAGGGCTCATCGTTAGGAAGTTTGAAAAGACGCTTCGTTAATCTTTTCACACACAAACATGTGTGAGTGTGTTGGTATCTTTAACGAGGCATGAACTGGCTACTTGGATACAGAACTCTAGGTGAGGTCTCAAATAGGTGGGATATGAAATTCGAAAAGTCTCTTCGTCAAAGTGTTTGAATGTTTGTGTAAGTAGCCAGAACGCTCAAAAACCTTTTTTGGTTTCTGCATTGCAATACTAAGTTGTTTTTAAATCACGAATTACCGTGAAGCAGTCAAGAAATCCCCTAAATAAATGGTTCTGTAAGTCTTCGACATTTGATGCTGAACTCATTGGTTTTACGGGATACACCCAGTTGAAGGGGTTCGGTTACGCATCCGCACCAGACCATGACTGAGTACGCCGTACCACTCATCCTCCGTAACTGTTAGCCGGCTTAGAATAAACACTCCCCGACACACTGATAACTCTTCAAATATATCGTCGAACTACTTTCTGACTTCTGATTCGACTGTAACTCCCCAGTTTCTGTGTTGCTCCGGGCATGGAAAAGATATACCGTTGATTGTGTACTGTTGACAAGTACCATTGTAGAATTATGTTGCACGTCGTTATTAGTATTATTATAATAGTAGACCCAATCTTAAAATTGTAGATTTGTCATGATCTGACTGCCTAATCAATAAGATCTTACGTGGAAGTTAAATCATTATCTATTCAAACTCATCGTGCCATAAGAATAAGCCATTTAAAGTTTAGTGCTTCTGAAGAACTTATTTAGGCTAAAGATAGAATAATATATTTAATGTGAGTAAATGCAAGTTATACAGAATGACCACGTCAGCATGACAGACATTTCATCCGGTTAAATTTAATTAACTCTTCCTGCCTTCTCCATTGTTGACCTTCTCTTCGTGTTAATTGTTGAATATAAATCTTTTCATTTATTATATGATTGGCTTCAAAGGTCGTGTGTTTAGGGTCCAGTGCCGCTACTCCGATGTGTATCAACGTTCAGTCTCCGACTTTGGGACCTCTCAAGTGATTCGACCAGATTGGCCTGGAGATTGAGATGGTTGGCTTCACTACTTAGTGTTTTACAGATTTTGATGTTGTCTACAAACAATAATGCCCATGTCTTAAGGAATTATGATAATTCATTGGGGCAGAGAAGAAAAGGCAGTGGATCTGAGAAGGTTTTTTAGGTCGCACTACTTTGATAGGCATTCATTCAGATAAGTTTCATTTACACTAACCCTCTGACTTTAGCCACAGAAGAAATTTCTTATCTGTTCTCGTACGGCACCTATGATTCAGAAGCTACAGGGAGTTTGAATAAGATTAACGTGAGAAGCCTTATTAGATCCCTTGCTAGAAGTTGTGAATATGGCATCAAAAGACAAACCATTGTATTGAGATTCTCTTCAGTCCTTTCTCGCAAATAGCAAGTTGGTTAGGCATGAATACATATTCCGAATCTCGTGTTGCTCAGGAGTTACCAGAATTTATGATTCCATGATGCTTTGTAAATTAGTCCGGATTGTTTTTTCAAATAACTGATCTAATATACTGGTTAAAATGGTGTGCTTGTAGTTAGTCAGCGACCATCTTGTCCCGATTTCTAGTGTTGGGTTAATTACAGCATACCACAAATCCTAGGAAGCTAGGTTTGAGAAAGATCAAAGCTGAAAAATAGCACAAGTGTTCATGAAATATTTCCCACGAAGGACGGCAACAATCGTGCATGCAAACCACCGGAACCCAGTGTCTTACTAGGTTTGAGGTTAATAATCGATCGCATAACAGCTCCCTCAGTCACATGTACAAGTCCTGTAGTTGGTATCCAGTTAATGTGGCTATTACAAGTATTGTTAAAAATAACCGTAGGGTAGACCTCACTGAAAAATTTGATAGTCTCAGCTTTGACGAAATCTGATTCTGCTAGTATATTCGAATTTCCGTACAACAACGATAGAGAAATACTATCATCACGTTTTGTTCTTCGTTTAGTATACGAAAACAGCCGTGTTTGGGAAACACAGCTATCTTATGCTAGTTTTATTTCTTAAGTGGCGCAACATCTAGTTTTGGTCCTTTAACATATATTCCAGGTTTTCGGTACTCGCACTTAAATGGTTTGTGATCTGTTGACGAGAACAAGTCCCATAAGCGTTTCGCACACTCAACGGCTTTCAGGTTGCCTTGTAGTGAAGGCGAACACTGGTGAGTTCAACCGAATTATATTCAACAAAATATTACAGAGTTAATTGGTAAAATGGAAAAACCATACTATACTACCTAGTTTGCAAAACGTTCAATAGTTGTCTCGGACTTCATTTTCTTGCATTTTCATACTAATTGCTTTCTATTTTCGTTCTTACGTTCTTGATAATCCCAATCTTCTGCTGCCAGACATTACACTCCTGACTCGCGTTATATACTACTTATATAAATATAAGTGGCACGCACTACACCCATACCGATCTGTGGATGGCAGTTCGATGCTCACGTGCTGATCATGGAATGAATATTATTGTTGTTGTTTCGAACGCGGCTTTAAACTTATTCCATTCGTCTTCAGCTGTCCCATCTGCATCGACCAACTAATCTTTTGAGAGAACGCGGTCTCTGATTGCCGGAATGTTAGCCCGACAGGTATCGTGACTGGGTGGAGCATATGCATACTGTATTAACCGAAATCCAAAGTTCAGTATTACGTATCCCATGTTCACTGGTGGGAGGAGTTACTGAATATAGGTGATGTTATCACATCTAAAGTCGTTGCGATGTGTTTACATGGGTGAATGGAATTTTTATCGAAAATGCGATTTGTGGAAATTGCAGTAATTTTATAAGCTAGCCTAACAACTAGCTCCACTATTGATTTCACGGAGTTCTAATGAGAAGTGGTGACCATTGAAGTCAAATCCGTACTGGGTACAAGACGTTATCCACTTTAGACAATGAATAAAGTGTTGCGCATGATCTCGAATCGATTGAAGATGGACATTAACACCGTTAGGTGAAGACTTAATGGTCTAGAGGTTAGGCGTTTATAATGGAGGCCGTAGGTCCTGATTTTGACATTAGGACGTGAACATGAATTGGATGGGACTAAAAAGGAAGGCCAAGGACATAGTGAGTTGGGGAATGCTGGTCGACAGCCTTTGCTCCATTAGGAGTAACAGGCGTAAGTGAGTAGTTCCACATCCTGGAGTTTTGATTTCAATTCCGACTGCGTATAGTGTGTGATTTTTATATGATCTAGTTGGATGGATAGAAATACTTATACTCAGGTTTTTAAGTAATTTTTTAGATCACTACACTATCCCAGTTATCTCACCAGAGACATTTGTAAGATCTTTATTGATAGAGCCCTACCAATAGTCCATGCTCTCAATCTAAATACTAGATACATATTCGAAAATAATGATACAATCAGACAAGTTCAGAAGTTGAGTAAAACAAATACATCCAAAAACACAGTGAAATTAAGAATATTCAATTTAATGGTTATAACCAGCCAAATAACTTCAGTTCTTTTTTAACACTACCGTCTCATCATTATTCTCATCAATATCTGAGTGAGCTACATTTCTGTGGAACAACAATTTAGTACTTTCTCACACCTTAGTGATAAACATGTCATATATTTGAAGCTGTTGATGCGAATGACAACGAGTAGGAGAATTTAATCACTATAATGACTTAACTTCAACCAAAGTGGCTCACTAAAATATGAATTTCGAAAGGAAACCAAATTTGTCCAATCAACAATAACACCACACTTGATAATTTGTTGAACAGCGTAATATCCAAAGACAAGTGAATAAAGTATCTAAAAATTGTGTTTGTTCCTCTGAATCCTTACAAACGAATGTCCTTTTTGAGATCGATAAATGGCTGCCGTACCAACAAAATCAAATATAACCAAACGTTCGAGGTCATTATAGTATCCATAAAGGATTAACTTCGATAAATGTGTTTGTCTTCTTTAGGGTGCATTTTCAGTGGTAGCAGAAATCTCGAGATGAGACTTACAACATCATGAACGTACATAATATCATTCATGTCTTATGATAAACTGTCCACTAGAAATCTCATCACTAAAGCAAACTGTTCGACGGTTTCATAATGGAATACCAATGAATTTAAATACTAGTCCATAGATAATCTGAGATAATTAGAAGCATTTGAATTATTATACAAACTAGGAATCCCAGAAATAATGAAACCTAACCAAGAAGTACGTGATAAGCACGAACGAATGTACTGTATTTGAAATTCTAAAACAAGCATCCAAAAAGTACAAAGGAATCATTAGTTCTATGGTGTCAAACCACTTGCCTTCTTTTCAAAGAAGCTAGAACCAACCCAAACTCGATATAGCACTTTCGGTAGAGAACTATTGGCTATTTATCTAGCTGTTAAACATTTTAACCATTTACTGCAAGGCAGAGACTTTGTGATACTCACTGATCACAAACCTTTAACCTATGCCTTTAACGCGAAAAGTGACCGTTATTCCCCTAGAGAAATGCGACAATTGGATTATATTTCCCAATTTTCGACCAACATACAGTTTATAAAAGG